TTCACCTTTGCTCACTCCCATAAACTTAGAGTCTGGAACAGTCTAGTGTTTTCTTTGTTTTCAAGAGAACTGGTGGCTCAGCCAGCAAAAATAACTGTTTTATCACAGTGTATTTTACTAGTGGTTCACAGCATGAAATTACTACATTGTTTTTTTTTTTTTTGGACTGCTTTTCATAGATAGTGTAGAGAGCAGAGAACGAACTCCTAGTCCATCATCACAAAAGGTACTTAGAAAACTATTTATTTATCTATGACAGGCCTACATATATATTTACGCTGACACAAACACCACAAAATTCAACCTTGAGACTCAAAGTTCAATTTGAAGTTCATTAAGTATCTAGACCAAAAACAAAGTAGAAAGTTGGAGAAATATGAAGAGTTAAATATATTCATGGGGGATTTCAAAACACAGTATTTCTTCAAAGCCTAAGTGTCCACTTGTAGAACTTTAACAAGATGCAAATTAGATGGTGTAAAAGATGGAGGGAACAAAATCGTTTTGTAGTACACCTGTGCATTTTAGGTTTGTGTTGTTTTTAAACAAGGTAATTTTCCTACTTTTCTGATTTGCCAGTTGTTGCCAGAGAAGACCCCTCTTTCAGGTCCTGGTACATTGAAGACAAGAGCAGGTCGAAAACGAAGAAGGGATGATGCGGAACAAGCTGGGGACAAAGAAATGGAATCTTTAGAAAATGAGTATAGGAGTAAGTGGAAAAGATTTGGCAATGGTTGTTTGAAGAATGTGATTGTAATTGATTGTCCAGGTTTGGTTACTGTTCAGGGCTGAGGTACAAGTGAATTGTTAAGTAAAGGCAGGCCACAAAATATACTGGGGAGGTGGGGGTGGTGGTAACCAGCTATGGATTTGCGTCCTGTCTAGGGATGTGGCTATTCCTAGGAACTTTATGGTGCAGAGATGGTAGTGCTTTCAATAAGATTCAAAGTAGATGGCTACCCTGTACAGCCCTACCCCTCTGAGAGCAATAAGAGGCCCTCTAGAAGGCCTCTAGAGGGCCGAAGTTTATCAACTGCTTTAGAATAATTATGTATATAGCTGGTGATTCAGAAAAGAAGTGCCACCAGAGCTGTAGTGGGTGCTGGGTCTTACTAAAAGCACTAGAAACCTGGATATGCTCACAAGCAGCATACATGTAGGCTGTTGTTTGTTTCAAGCACTGAATTTAAGATCAAAATCAGATGGCAGGATTCATTTGCTTTGCACGTGATCTGAGAAATTCTATCATCACATTACTTTCAGCGTCAAATGGGGCACTCTAGCTAAAAGATGAAGTGAAAGTATCAGCTTTTTATACAAGAATGAGAGTTCCACATGATGTTATTGCCTGGGGATTCATGTTAAATTAATTACTTTTTCTTGATGTTTCTCCCTGTCAGAAAATAATTTTGTGAGGCTATTTAATGCTGATCAGGGAAGAAAGAACAGCATGTCTGAGATCACAGACCTTGATGTTATTCTCACAGTCATAGAAGAAGAAGCCCTGGAAATCAGGTGACTACAGGGCAACTACTTCTCAACAAAATGAGAATGAAACTTAACGCTGAAAAACAAAACAAAACAAAACAAAACAAAACAACCTTAGGCATACATGTCCTTATGTACATTGGTCGGATGCCTTAACACTGAAGGCAGGAGCTAAGCCATGTAACAAGGTACTTGTAACTGGTATAATAGCAGACTGAGCTGGTCATTGGTTCAACTCCTGTCGAGAGAACCCAGAGTTTTTTTCTGTGTAGCGTGTGCTATTGACCAGCTATTTGAGAGATTTTGGTTTGGTTTTTTTATTGCCTCTCAGTAATTGACTTTTTGTTTTCTTAAAATCATGTAGGAATGACATGGAGTCAGCTGCTGGCAAGCAAGCTGTGAAGGAGTTTTTCATTCAAATAAGAAAATCTTTCAGTGAAACTGTGAGTTTATTTAATTTAGTAGTAAGATCATTAATTTCCACCTGGACAAGTAACTCAGCCACTGAAGTCTCAGCAAAAACAAACAACTCCTAATATTATTAATTATAATCTTACTATTAGACTAAGTTTTATCCCAAGGGTGTCCATGCTGAAACAATATTTATTTAATCTTAGTTTTTAGCACCAAAATAGCTTTTTTTGAAAATGTATTAACTGTCACAATCAGTGCCAATTACAAAGCCGTAGCTAATAGCAGGTAAACTGAGGCCCTTGCCTCAGTCAATTTTTTGCTACAATAAGTTTTTGTTTTTCTTTTTTGAAGGGGGAAGTAATTAAGTCAGTGCTAGCAATATTAAAATAAACAAACGGACAAATATCATTGCCTCAGTCATAATGTTTTTCTGGCTATGGTCCTGCTTTGACTTGCAGATTGATGTTTACAGAGAAAACCAAATGCTGAGGGCCAATCTCAGGAAGGTAAGCTAAAAGCTGCTATTACGGTAACCACAACCAGAGACTGAATGATACTATAATCGGGTGATAAAAGAAGAAATCAGAAACTATGGACTGTGTTGATTGTTAGACAGCATGGTTTTGGAATCATCTTTATAATAATAATTATAATAATAATATAAAACATACTGGTAGTACCAAGCTTTCCTTAACAAGGAATGTAATGAAAGGGACATATTTTACTAGGATTGTGTGATATTTATGAGCTTATAGCAGTGGTTGAACTTTGTCTTATTAATAAAGTTTATCTTGCAGGCAAAATCAAAAGTAAACAAACTTCGTAAAGATCTCCTTAGTGTGCAGCAAAAGAGATCAAGGTATGTTTTTGTGAAAATCTTGAAACTGTAAAAACCATATTAATATTTTTATAAACCAGGTCTCTTCACAAAATCCCTTTCCAAACTACAACTTATGAAAATACAAGGTGAAGGCAAGTCCAAATTGGTGTAATATAAGCCTTCATTACTCTGTTTGTGCACCACCTTGATTTCAATATTAGGTTCAAAATGCATCTTTCCAGACTTATACCTTGTTATATTATTTCTATAGGATCTCAGCAAAGCTTGAGAGTGAGAAAAGTAACCTTCAGCAAAACAATGAGAGACAAAAGGTAAAGTTTAAAAGTAAATTCCTTAAGTTTGTGGGTCATGAAGCACCTCTCGCAACATGGTCTCACATGAATGGCTTGATACCTTTTGACAGAACAATAGAAAAAGCAGCAGAAACAATGTCCCTAACCCAAAAACAATGACAGCTGCTACACCATGGTGACAAATAAAATTACAAACTTACAAGAGCTGCCACACTACCGAAGTTTGTCCTTAGTGCATACTATAGAAGATATTACATGGCAGTTAGAGGATACAGAGTTTATTTTTGATTAGTAAAAACTTGTTTATGAATAAGGGCATGAATTATTGTTTTGAACATTATGAGGGAATAAAGTTCACATCTTCAAGCCAGCTGATGATTCAGAATTGAGAACTCGTCAAAGTTCTGGTGAGCATCAGGTCTAATATTAAAAGCACTGTAAAAACTGAATGACTATACATAGAATAGCCTGCAAACAGGCTGACCTTTGAGAAGAACACTTTCTTGTCTTGTGGCCTTGCCGCTTGATTCAGCGCTCACAGCTAAGCCGCTTGCATTTGTGCTCCCCAAACGTGAGACTGCTTGCAGGCTATGCACAGTGCTTATGAGTTATTAGAGGCAGTGTGGTTTCTCATAATATCTGCCTACAGCTATTTAGTAATATCTTTGATTCCCTACAGTTGCTGGAAGATTTTAGCCTATTTTTAGCCAAGCTTGAGGCATTACAGAAAGAATGCAGAAAAGATTTGTCTTCAAAGAAGGCATCAAAGGTGGTTAGTATCATATAACAATTACCATAATTCTACTGAAAGCACAGTGCACCATATTGAACCTCCAAGTAACAGTACATGATAACCCCTCCCTTGCCCAAAAAATATGTGTAGTGAATGGAAAAAAGGAATATTAATTTTGTCACTTAACATTTTTTGTGTACAGAGTTCACATTGTCTTTTTTTTGTTTTTTGGAATATACAATGTCTGCTTGCAGTGAAGGAGCCTCTTGGTCTGGTTCCTAGGATGGTAACCATTAGGCAGCCAGCCCAAAAATGTGTCCAAGAGCACTGCTATTAAACACTGCCACTTAACCCCCCTCCCCTTTCCTCTCCACAACAGAAATATTTCTTGATAAAGCTCCAACTGCTCTACTAAATAAGATCGCAGGAAATTTTTTACAAATTTGTGTTCGGAACTGTCATTTTTAAAATAACCGTTTTTTCTTTCTATTTCAGAACTATGGGTCATTTAGCAACCTACCAAGCTTACTTATTGAAGGACAGAGTTTATTAACAGCTGCCAATCAGCTTAAATCTGTCAATGATGCACTGCAACAGCAGCAGTAACAAAGATCTAAAGAGATATTTTTATTTAAGAAAAAGATTGAGTTGTTTTGTATGTTTCTGTAAATAAATCAAGATTTGGAGAGTTTTTTCCCTCTTAGATGAAATATGTTGCTTGTATCACCTGTTGCATGATATGCATTGGTTCAAAGTGCTTTTTTTCTGCTGGCACCCTTATTCCGTAGCCTACATGCAGGCTACTTGTACAGCTTCACACATGTAGGCTATCTTGTCTGGAGCTGCGGGATGCATGGGCTATTCCGTTTGTGTCCATCCCCCCCTCCCCCTATTGCACCCCCCTTCCCCACTAAAAGGTTTTTCTGGAGTGCAAGACTCTTTACTTCTCGTGGAGGACGCCCATATGAAAAGGATGTGGTTAGAGGTTAAAAATGCAGTTTTGGTACCTCTCAGGGTGTTCAGCCTCAAAGCGTCCACAGCAGGAGCTTTCGCAGCACCTTCTAGTATATTGAACTGAAAACAAATGTCAGGAGATTATATGTTGTTTTAGAATTGGTACCTCTTAAGGGTGAAAACCATTTCAAGCAAGTCTTGGTACCTCTTCTAGAGGGGTTCTTTTCAAATTTCCGATGAGCACCCCTGACCTCTTTATAGGGAAGTCCCTCCCCCGGGTTCACTCTCACAGTACCTCTCTACATTCAGGTGTATGAATTATTGGTACTATACTGGCAAATTCCATGCTGGGGGTAACCTTATGATGGACTAGCAAGTGAATAGTCAGAAAGCAGCTGTCAGTTCTTGATAATTTATAATGGACCCTGCCCCACAATCAAGGTATCTGTTTTCTTGTCACAGTCAGTTCTAGTCTATAGCCAGTCAGGTCTTTTTTAATTTCTTTTGTTGCAATCAATTGCTCGATTTTCTTTTATTCCTGTAAATTAACTTACTTTTCAGCTGATGTCTTTGTTCAAAACAGACGCCACGCGGACCCAGAGCGACGCGGTTCCAAATATGGTAGGGCAAATTTGATGGCTTCTTGATTGTGATTGGTCAGTTACCCAATTGACGGACAACTTCAACCCCGCACGCTCACTCGCTCACTATTCCCCTCCGCGAGTTTCGTGTACCTCGGAAACAACATGTCGGGCCGTGGTGGAAAAGCAGCCAAGAGAGCAAAGGCAGTGTCCCGGTCAGCCAAAGCTGGCCTTCAGTTTCCAGTGAGCCGAGTTCACCGTTATCTGCGCCAAGCCACGCATCATTTTCGCATCGCATCTGGCGCTCCGGTTTATCAAGCAGCCGTGATGGAATACTTGACCGCCGAGATCTTAGAACTCGCAGGGAACGCCGCGCGAGACAATAAGAAAACTAGGATCATTCCCCGCCATATTTTACTTGCAGTAGCTAACGACGAAGAACTTCATCAAGTGAGTGCTATATATACATGTTACGGTTTACTTGGATTGCAGTGAATTCATTGTGATCGCAAGCGAGGGAACTTTCGCGATCGGCTGTTCGCGGGGTAGTTTAAGAAGTGGCTGCATGTTCATGACAGATGGTTATTTTCAAGGACGGCAAAGTGATTTGAAATTTGTTGCTGCCTTGAGAGTTTTATTTCCTTGCTTGCTCGACCCTTTGAGAGGATTTGTTAGGGTCAGGTATTGTAAGCTTTAAGCAGTGTGACGAGAATACAACTTAACCTTAACTAGTGTGACTAAAATTGCGATCGCAAATTAACCCACGCTTACATCGACCCATGAAAAGCATAAGCCATAGTTCGACAGCTGGGTCCATCGAGATCGTTCCCGAACGGTGATTTTTCCAATTTAATCACATTGATCTTGAGTGACACCTCAACTTCCAGTATAAATCCTTTATATAGCCTTTTCACTGTATACAAACTTCACTTTCGACTTGATTTAATATACGCTTACAATCTCTCAAATCCCCATGCGCTATGTGTAGTGTTGTTATAAAGCGAGCGACTGGTGCTGTATTCATGGTTGCACGATTGGTTAAATTCGAGAACATAAGATCGTTATCAATATTTTCATCCCCTTTAAATACTCTTCTCTTGATCGCCACCAACTAGTCGATAGTTATACTTCTGTTCATATTTTTTGGCCTGCCTTGTGTGACCTCAAACATGTTATAAATTCATGTCGATATTGGACCATTGTCTGTGGTGTTTCCGGTTGACGGATTAGTCATATTGTGAGTTGGTATGTGAAAGGTTTATCTTCGTAGATACCCTAGGCCTATGTAACAATCTTTGTCATTACACACCTTTGTTGTTGTATTTTGGAGTACTTTACCNAGATGGTGTAAAAGATGGAGGGAACAAAATCGTTTTGTAGTACACCTGTGCATTTTAGGTTTGTGTTGTTTTTAAACAAGGTAATTTTCCTACTTTTCTGATTTGCCAGTTGTTGCCAGAGAAGACCCCTCTTTCAGGTCCTGGTACATTGAAGACAAGAGCAGGTCGAAAACGAAGAAGGGATGATGCGGAACAAGCTGGGGACAAAGAAATGGAATCTTTAGAAAATGAGTATAGGAGTAAGTGGAAAAGATTTGGCAATGGTTGTTTGAAGAATGTGATTGTAATTGATTGTCCAGGTTTGGTTACTGTTCAGGGCTGAGGTACAAGTGAATTGTTAAGTAAAGGCAGGCCACAAAATATACTGGGGAGGTGGGGGTGGTGGTAACCAGCTATGGATTTGCGTCCTGTCTAGGGATGTGGCTATTCCTAGGAACTTTATGGTGCAGAGATGGTAGTGCTTTCAATAAGATTCAAAGTAGATGGCTACCCTGTACAGCCCTACCCCTCTGAGAGCAATAAGAGGCCCTCTAGAAGGCCTCTAGAGGGCCGAAGTTTATCAACTGCTTTAGAATAATTATGTATATAGCTGGTGATTCAGAAAAGAAGTGCCACCAGAGCTGTAGTGGGTGCTGGGTCTTACTAAAAGCACTAGAAACCTGGATATGCTCACAAGCAGCATACATGTAGGCTGTTGTTTGTTTCAAGCACTGAATTTAAGATCAAAATCAGATGGCAGGATTCATTTGCTTTGCACGTGATCTGAGAAATTCTATCATCACATTACTTTCAGCGTCAAATGGGGCACTCTAGCTAAAAGATGAAGTGAAAGTATCAGCTTTTTATACAAGAATGAGAGTTCCACATGATGTTATTGCCTGGGGATTCATGTTAAATTAATTACTTTTCTTGATGTTTCTCCCTGTCAGAAAATAATTTTGTGAGGCTGTTTAATGCTGATCAGGGAAGAAAGAACAGCATGTCTGAGATCACAGACCTTGATGTTATTCTCACAGTCATAGAAGAAGAAGCCCTGGAAATCAGGTGACTACAGGGCAACTACTTCTCAACAAAATGAGAATGAAACTTAACGCTGAAAAACAAAACAAAACAAAACAAAACAAAACAACCTTAGGCATACATGTCCTTATGTACATTGGTCGGATGCCTTAACACTGAAGGCAGGAGCTAAGCCATGTAACAAGGTACTTGTAACTGGTATAATAGCAGACTGAGCTGGTCATTGGTTCAACTCCTGTCGAGAGAACCCAGAGTTTTTTTCTGTGTAGCGTGTGCTATTGACCAGCTATTTGAGAGATTTTGGTTTGGTTTTTTTATTGCCTCTCAGTAATTGACTTTTTGTTTTCTTAAAATCATGTAGGAATGACATGGAGTCAGCTGCTGGCAAGCAAGCTGTGAAGGAGTTTTTCATTCAAATAAGAAAATCTTTCAGTGAAACTGTGAGTTTATTTAATTTAGTAGTAAGATCATTAATTTCCACCTGGACAAGTAACTCAGCCACTGAAGTCTCAGCAAAAACAAACAACTCCTAATATTATTAATTATAATCTTACTATTAGACTAAGTTTTATCCCAAGGGTGTCCATGCTGAAACAATATTTATTTAATCTTAGTTTTTAGCACCAAAATAGCTTTTTTTGAAAATTTATTAACTGTCACAATCAGTGCCAATTACAAAGCCGTAGCTAATAGCAGGTAAACTGAGGCCCTTGCCTCAGTCAATTTTTTGCTACAATAAGTTTTTGTTTTTCTTTTTTGAAGGGGGAAGTAATTAAGTCAGTGCTAGCAATATTAAAATAAACAAACGGACAAATATCATTGCCTCAGTCATAATGTTTTTCTGGCTATGGTCCTGCTTTGACTTGCAGATTGATGTTTACAGAGAAAACCAAATGCTGAGGGCCAATCTCAGGAAGGTAAGCTAAAAGCTGCTATTACGGTAACCACAACCAGAGACTGAATGATACTATAATCGGGTGATAAAAGAAGAAATCAGAAACTATGGACTGTGTTGATTGTTAGACAGCATGGTTTTGGAATCATCTTTATAATAATAATTATAATAATAATATAAAACATACTGGTAGTACCAAGCTTTCCTTAACAAGGAATGTAATGAAAGGGACATATTTTACTAGGATTGTGTGATATTTATGAGCTTATAGCAGTGGTTGAACTTTGTCTTATTAATAAAGTTTATCTTGCAGGCAAAATCAAAAGTAAACAAACTTCGTAAAGATCTCCTTAGTGTGCAGCAAAAGAGATCAAGGTATGTTTTTGTGAAAATCTTGAAACTGTAAAAACCATATTAATATTTTTATAAACCAGGTCTCTTCACAAAATCCCTTTCCAAACTACAACTTATGAAAATACAAGGTGAAGGCAAGTCCAAATTGGTGTAATATAAGCCTTCATTACTCTGTTTGTGCACCACCTTGATTTCAATATTAGGTTCAAAATGCATCTTTCCAGACTTATACCTTGTTATATTATTTCTATAGGATCTCAGCAAAGCTTGAGAGTGAGAAAAGTAACCTTCAGCAAAACAATGAGAGACAAAAGGTAAAGTTTAAAAGTAAATTCCTTAAGTTTGTGGGTCATGAAGCACCTCTCGCAACATGGTCTCACATGAATGGCTTGATACCTTTTGACAGAACAATAGAAAAAGCAGCAGAAACAATGTCCCTAACCCAAAAACAATGACAGCTGCTACACCATGGTGACAAATAAAATTACAAACTTACAAGAGCTGCCACACTACCGAAGTTTGTCCTTAGTGCATACTATAGAAGATATTACATGGCAGTTAGAGGATACAGAGTTTATTTTTGATTAGTAAAAACTTGTTTATGAATAAGGGCATGAATTATTGTTTTGAACATTATGAGGGAATAAAGTTCACATCTTCAAGCCAGCTGATGATTCAGAATTGAGAACTCGTCAAAGTTCTGGTGAGCATCAGGTCTAATATTAAAAGCACTGTAAAAACTGAATGACTATACATAGAATAGCCTGCAAACAGGCTGACCTTTGAGAAGAACACTTTCTTGTCTTGCGGCCTTGCCGCTTGATTCAGCGCTCACAGCTAAGCCGCTTGCATTTGTGCTCCCCAAACGTGAGACTGCTTGCAGGCTATGCACAGTGCTTATGAGTTATTAGAGGCAGTGTGGTTTCTCATAATATCTGCCTACAGCTATTTAGTAATATCTTTGATTCCCTACAGTTGCTGGAAGATTTTAGCCTATTTTTAGCCAAGCTTGAGGCATTACAGAAAGAATGCAGAAAAGATTTGTCTTCAAAGAAGGCATCAAAGGTGGTTAGTATCATATAACAATTACCATAATTCTACTGAAAGCACAGTGCACCATATTGAACCTCCAAGTAACAGTACATGATAACCCCTCCCTTGCCCAAAAAATATGTGTAGTGAATGGAAAAAAGGAATATTAATTTTGTCACTTAACATTTTTTGTGTACAGAGTTCACATTGTCTTTTTTTTGTTTTTTGGAATATACAATGTCTGCTTGCAGTGAAGGAGCCTCTTGGTCTGGTTCCTAGGATGGTAACCATTAGGCAGCCAGCCCAAAAATGTGTCCAAGAGCACTGCTATTAAACACTGCCATTTAACCCCCCTCCCCTTTCCCCTCCACAACAGAAATATTTCTTGATAAAGCTCCAACTGCTCTACTAAATAAGATCGCAGGAAATTTTTTACAAATTTGTGTTCGGAACTGTCATTTTTAAAATAACCGTTTTTTCTTTCTATTTCAGAACTATGGGTCATTTAGCAACCTACCAAGCTTACTTATTGAAGGACAGAGTTTATTAACAGCTGCCAATCAGCTTAAATCTGTCAATGATGCACTGCAACAGCAGCAGTAACAAAGATCTAAAGAGATATTTTTATTTAAGAAAAAGATTGAGTTGTTTTGTATGTTTCTGTAAATAAATCAAGATTTGGAGAGTTTTTTCCCTCTTAGATGAAATATGTTGCTTGTATCACCTGTTGCATGATATGCATTGGTTCAAAGTGCTTTTTTTCTGCTTGCACCCTTATTCCGTAGCCTACATGCAGGCTACTTGTACAGCTTCACACATGTAGGCTATCTTGTCTGGAGCTGCGGGATGCATGGGCTATTCCGTTTGTGTCCATCCCCCCCTCCCCCTATTGCACCCCCCTTCCCCACTAAAAGGTTTTTCTGGAGTGCAAGACTCTTTACTTCTCGTGGAGGACGCCCATATGAAAAGGATGTGGTTAGAGGTTAAAAATGCAGTTTTGGTACCTCTCAGGGTGTTCAGCCTCAAAGCGTCCACAGCAGGAGCTTTCGCAGCACCTTCTAGTATATTGAACTGAAAACAAATGTCAGGAGATTATATGTTGTTTTAGAATTGGTACCTCTTAAGGGTGAAAACCATTTCAAGCAAGTCTTGGTACCTCTTCTAGAGGGGTTCTTTTCAAATTTCCGATGAGCACCCCTGACCTCTTTATAGGGAAGTCCCTCCCCCGGGTTCACTCTCACAGTACCTCTCTACATTCAGGTGTATGAATTATTGGTACTATACTGGCAAATTCCATGCTGGGGGTAACCTTATGATGGACTAGCAAGTGAATAGTCAGAAAGCAGCTGTCAGTTCTTGATAATTTATAATGGACCCTGCCCCACAATCAAGGTATCTGTTTTCTTGTCACAGTCAGTTCTAGTCTATAGCCAGTCAGGTCTTTTTTTATTTCTTTTGTTGCAATCAATTGCTCGATTTTCTTTTATTCCTGTAAATTAACTTACTTTTCAGCTGATGTCTTTGTTCAAAACAGACGCCACGCGGACCCAGAGCGACGCGGTTCCAAATATGGTAGGGCAAATTTGATGGCTTCTTGATTGTGATTGGTCAGTTACCCAATTGACGGACAACTTCAACCCCGCACGCTCACTCGCTCACTATTCCCCTCCGCGAGTTTCGTGTACCTCGGAAACAACATGTCGGGCCGTGGTGGAAAAGCAGCCAAGAGAGCAAAGGCAGTGTCCCGGTCAGCCAAAGCTGGCCTTCAGTTTCCAGTGAGCCGAGTTCACCGTTATCTGCGCCAAGCCACGCATCATTTTCGCATCGCATCTGGCGCTCCGGTTTATCAAGCAGCCGTGATGGAATACTTGACCGCCGAGATCTTAGAACTCGCAGGGAACGCCGCGCGAGACAATAAGAAAACTAGGATCATTCCCCGCCATATTTTACTTGCAGTAGCTAACGACGAAGAACTTCATCAAGTGAGTGCTATATATACATGTTACGGTTTACTTGGATTGCAGTGAATTCATTGTGATCGCAAGCGAGGGAACTTTCGCGATCGGCTGTTCGCGGGGTAGTTTAAGAAGTGGCTGCATGTTCATGACAGATGGTTATTTTCAAGGACGGCAAAGTGATTTGAAATTTGTTGCTGCCTTGAGAGTTTTATTTCCTTGCTTGCTCGACCCTTTGAGAGGATTTGTTAGGGTCAGGTATTGTAAGCTTTAAGCAGTGTGACGAGAATACAACTTAACCTTAACTAGTGTGACTAAAATTGCGATCGCAAATTAACCCACGCTTACATCGACCCATGAAAAGCATAAGCCATAGTTCGACAGCTGGGTCCATCGAGATCGTTCCCGAACGGTGATTTTTCCAATTTAATCACATTGATCTTGAGTGACACCTCAACTTCCAGTATAAATCCTTTATATAGCCTTTTCACTGTATACAAACTTCACTTTCGACTTGATTTAATATACGCTTACAATCTCTCAAATCCCCATGCGCTATGTGTAGTGTTGTTATAAAGCGAGCGACTGGTGCTGTATTCATGGTTGCACGATTGGTTAAATTCGAGAACATAAGATCGTTATCAATATTTTCATCCCCTTTAAATACTCTTCTCTTGATCGCCACCAACTAGTCGATAGTTATACTTCTGTTCATATTTTTTGGCCTGCCTTGTGTGACCTCAAACATGTTATAAATTCATGTCGATATTGGACCATTGTCTGTGGTGTTTCCGGTTGACGGATTAGTCATATTGTGAGTTGGTATGTGAAAGGTTTATCTTCGTAGATACCCTAGGCCTATGTAACAATCTTTGTCATTACACACCTTTGTTGTTGTATTTTGGAGTACTTTACCGTATTAATCAATATTGCCGATCTATTTCGTATAGGGTTTTTTTTTTTCATAATTGAATTCTGAAGCTGTCAAGAAATCAAAGGACAAAATGTATATGAGTAAATGTTACCTTATGAGAAGGTTGTAAAGAAGTATTCTTGTGATGTGTGATTAGCTGATTTTATTTTTACGCAAGTCCTTTGAATGGTTAGAGTCGTCTATGGAGAGTGGCTTGGGTGTGCGACATGCAACATTGAACCTTGACGTAGCCTTTCACGATTTTGCTTTCTTCATACTCTCTCTCTAGTGAAAGAACAGGTCATTGAAAAGAGTATCTTACTTGTTTATTTTCGTGATTCAGGAAAACAAAATTTTTATATCTTTGATCTGTGAACCTCTATTTTTTCCATTTGTGAACTGTGTCAGAGACCCCCTGTATGACCCTCTTGTGGCTTTGACTGTGAGCAACTGCAAAGCACAAGTGAGCAGTAAGGAAGCAGTGTATTTTCCCCACAGGATGATTCCCTGAGGCTGAAAGTCTGTTTGCTTAGAGTGGTAGTATCTGTTTACTTCCTGTTCCTTCAGGTCAGCACACACAGAGGGCACTTGTCCTTGCGACTTGCATTGTCTTACAAACAGTTCACACAAAGGGTGGGAGGGACTAGTCGTGGGAACTAGTTCCTTCAAATCGAAGCAGTTTCAATTCAGGAGACAAGTTGCAGGAACCTAATTTTGGTCCTGACAAAAATGGCTGGTTCACATGAGGGGACTTGTCCCCACGACAACTACTGTTATCAAGTACTGGCCCCCTTGCGTGTACGACCTTTAACTAACGTGTGCATAGCTTACACATAATGCGTTTATCCCTCATTCTTTAATCCATTAACCACAGGTCTACAAGAGTGCTAATGTATTCACTATAATCTTAAGTGAATGTCTGGGCAAATGGACTTTCAGTCTGGACAAAATGACTGCAAGTTAGCAGAATTAAACTTGCTGAGATGAGGGAAAGTGGTTATTGAAAACAACCCCATCTTTCTGTCTTCATTCTCCTTCAGTTTCATTCTCTTGTTATTCACTCCAGCAGGCCTATCTCTGCTCACTCATAATGCCACAATGAATTGTGCCGTTCCAGAAAATATCCATGCCTCCCCTGTGGAAGACCCCACCATCCTCCTGGAAATGCCAATTAAACTTCATGCATCTCTTTAAATGTTTTGGCCTTACATAAACCCCGTCCCCACTTTTCTACCCCCGGAAACTCCAATCCCTATTGTAGGGAGGGGGGGATATGGATTTTTCCTGGAACTGTGCATTATCAACTAAAGCTGAAATTCATTTTGGGACTTTGCACGACAAATGCATGACGTGTGTATATAACAACTGATATAATTCCATTTTTCCCACAAGTTACTGAAAGGAGTAACAATCGCCTCTGGTGGTGTTCTTCCTAACATCCATCCTGAACTATTGAAGAAGAGAAAAGGTGGAAAACTTGTATCACCAGAAGAATTAAAACCAAAGAAACCCAAGGCTTCTTCAGCACCAAAAGCTGTAACTTCTGGTAAGAAGATTGCAACCCCAACAAAGAAGGCCCCTCCTGCTAAGAAAGCACCAATCTCGGCTGGTAAAGGCAAAAAGAAAGGGGTAAGTTGTAGGATTGACGTGCAGTGTGCGTAACAAGGAATTTTTTTTTTTTTTTTGCTGGGAGGTATAGTACTTACCTACAGTGATTGTCTGGTATCATGATGTGAACCTCTCAGAGATGGAGCTTTACTCTTAAAGTTAAAGGGCATACCGTAATAGCTCAGATCTTTCAGCTAGACATGAGATTTTGTTCTTTAGGTGTGAGTAGGTGTGAGATTAGAACTTTTGACTTGAGGGCATGAGACTTAAACCCAGGACGTGAGAGTTGGGAATTATAAGTTATTGGTGTCTTGACACCATGGCGCATTGATGATGTATACTGTCCTGAGGTTGAGAGACAGTATCTCACTCAATAGTTGTTATGTAGTTAGCTCTGTGAGCAGGAGAGATAAACCTGAGCTGGCATGGTGGGGTATCTTGTCCGTTCTAGATTACCTGTTGTTTCTTTGTGTTATAATTCTTATAATTTATTATTTTCAGCCTGCTGCAAGAAAAGCAGCTGAAAAGTCTGGTCCTGGAGCTGGTTTCACTGTTCTCTCAGAGAAAACTCTATTTTTGGGTCAAAAGGTGAGTACTTGGCAAAAATGTTATTTTATAAATTCAAGTCGTAAATGAGTTCAGAGCAAAGCGAATGCAGCTGTATAAGCCATATTATTGTATTAAACCATATTACACTGAGATATTGCTTCCTCACTGCGAGAAGACTGAGATAAATGTAAAACCCTTGGTGCTTTCATAACTTAAGGGTTATAGCGGAGCTGCGGCAGTCCAAAGGGCCGCCAAGCAGAGCTCCATACTCATATAGGAAAGAAAAGGAAACCCATGAGTTGATTTTCTCNATTGTCCCTTGATGTTAGGGATGAACTTGCCTATTGTCAATACAATTCCCATACAAAGTAACAAGATTATTACGGCTGTGAAGATCAGACTCAAAAGTGAACTAACCGTGACTTCAAAACTTTCTGAAAGCCCCGGCAACAAAACATCAATTTTACCAGGAATGCAGAAGCTAAATGTCTGGAAAGTCAAACTTGAACAAAATATTTGAAGCTTTGCACACCAGCTCAATGTTGTATTTTATTGCTTTTAGTTGACAGTTATTCAAGGAGACATTTCAACTGTAGAGGCAGATGCTCTTGTCCACCCGACCAATGCATCATTTTATCTTGGCGGTGAAGTTGGTATGTACTTTGCATCTTGTTCATCATTGTTAATTTTTCCTTCGTGATGTGCAAATCCCATACCTTCAGTTTGTGGAAAATCAGCCTTAAGATAACAGTCAGGTAGCTGTAGCAATAACTCTGAGATCATCTCAAGGCCCATCATAATAATGGAACCACTTTAAATTTGCTACATGTAATCACCTCATTTATCGATTGGATAACATACTATGAGTTAGAAATTAATTTACAATCATGTAGCAGGGGTTTCATTATAGGCTGGGCACCCGGCAAATTGACTGGCTCTAAGGATGATTTTGCTCACCTGATTCTACCAACCAGAGGAAAGTTTTTCTTAGAATGAAGTTCAATTCAAAAAGTCTCACCTGCCTGTGAAAACCAGTTGCACTCCTGCTGATATCATTAATGGAATTCAACTGTAACATTTGTTTTTACATACATACACATGTATGTAGAACATCCTTGTCAAAAACAATGTAATATAATGTTTCTATTTTTCACGCTTTCTTGTTACCAAGGGTCAGTGCTGGAAAAAGCCGGTGGAGATGAGTTCAAAGAAGAAGTCAAGAAACTGTCAGAGTCTCATGGACAATTAGAACTAGCGACAGGTCAGTTTTTCTTTGGACAATATCACACATAGCATTGTGGAGGCGCAGTGACCTCATGGTTAGTGCAGTAGCTTCTGGATCAAGCGGTCCAGGTTCAAGCTCCGGCCAGGGACATTGTGTTCCTGGGCAAGATGTTTTACTTTCACCGTGCCTCTCTCCACGCAGGTGCCTAAATGGGTACCAGCAAATTTAATGCTGGGGATAACCCTGTGATGGACTAGCATCCATCCAGGGGGGAGTAGAAATACTCCTAGCTTTTTCATACTACAGAACTGAGAGATAAGTGCCAGCCTGATGGGCCACTTAGCTCATATCAAACTTAACCTCACCAGTATCAGACATAGCATTCTCTGGTCTGGCCATGAGTTTTGAGTATTGTTTGGGGACACTGTGTTATGTTCTCAGACAACACGTTTTACTCTCACAGTGCCTCTCTCGCACCTGGAGTATAAATAGATACTTGTTACACAAACTGGCAAAATGCCGGAGAACAGTTCAAAGTTCTGCAGTTGACAAGAATTCTCTTGAAGAGGGCCAGTAATTTCTTGCCCTTGTATCCCATGAAAACTGGAAAAGCATCGTTGTTGAATGCCGCTATGGCCTCAAGCTGAGTGCAGGCTTTACTTGAATTCTGGTTTGAGTAGTTGGAGAAACAGCGTATTAGCATGAGTTCCCAGCAGGAATCGTACTCTGGCACCATGCTTGGGCATCAAGTGTGAACATAGCCTAAGAAAACTAGAAAGACTAAACATATTGTTTGCTTCTCTCATAGCGGCAATCTGTGATGGGCACAACTTGCCGGCACAGTACGTGATTCATGTCCACAGCCCAACCTGGGGTAGTGATTCCTCTGTAGACAATTTGGAGAAAGCAGTCAAGAATGTCCTGACTTTAGCTGATGAGAAAAACATCAAAACAATTGCTCTCCCGTCTATAGGAAGTGGCGCGTGAGTATAAACATTTACTGTATTTTTAACAATAGTAGGGTTGTGTGGAATCCAATTTGGTTGGTTATCATAGAAGTGATTCACAAATAGGATGACAAAGCAGGAGTTTAGTTTATTTAGGCATCGTCCGCTCTATGTCGGAGAAATTTGAAAATGCAGCTTTAGTTCTATGCTTAGGCCTACTGACCACACTAATCCATCACAAAAACGGAGCTTTTCAAAAATGCTCTTCAAACCAAATGACTTTGACAATGCCAGCTTTTCTTTTTTGTGGGGGCAGTAAACATATCGAAAATGGTGCTCTTCAAAAACAATGGCACCACGTTAATCACGGGATTCCCTGACTCAAACACAAATCTAAAATGAGCAGTGATTATTGTATTTTTAAATTCGTCCAGCATAGTGTGGTCATTTGATGCATTTTCAGAGTGAAACCTCGATTTTCAAATTTTTCTGGCACAGTGTGGACGGGGCGGGGCCTAAATTGCCAAGAACGCTGATTAAATAAACTAACACCATACTCTGTTCTCTTTCTGCTCTGAAAGCAGTAACAACTTCCCTAAGGATACAGCCGCTCAGACCATCCTGAAGGCCATTTCCAACTACTTTGTCTCCGTCATGGCATCGTCTTTAAAACAGATCTACTTTGTGTTGCATGACATGGAATCCATTGGTATTTACACCATGGAACTAGCACGTCTCGACTCTTAGGACTAGCTGTTGTTTGCTGTAGTGTCAATTTTCTGTTGTTACCGAGAGGTCTGTTTGTAAGGAACTGCTATATAAGTTGAAACTGTCAGATCTTCGTCCTGGCCAAATGTACTTGGAAGTGAACTTTCATCCATCGTTAATCATCTGTACTTTGCTAATGTCACACCAACTTAAGGCTAAGTTTCACAAAAATTCCTGCATGCTCACATACCCAGTGAATTGCCTTGATTTATTTCCAAATTATCCGTGCTAGCATACATGAAGTGTGTAGAAACCAGTTGAAGATAATGACAAGGCTGTGGTCTAAGAAAAATTGCAAGGAGCTAAAGGTTCCTAACCATGAAATCCTGGCAATCCTGGGAGCCCAGTGCTTAAGCTGTTATGAAGTAGTAAGTTTTTCTAGTTGCCCAAAGGCAAAAGCCAGACGCCTCTGGCACCCAGGTGCTTCTAAAGCACAGCCCTGTTGAGAGATTTGATACCAGAATCTCCCAGGGAGAAATAGATTAAGATATGTGGCTTGCATCAAGAATAAAAGGATACTAGAGTCTCCATTTAGTGGTGAAGTGGAGTTGACTCATAGGCACATTTGGCCAGGAATTTTCACATTTTCTTAACGTGAAGAACTTAATCCTTGAACATTTTTTGATACTGTCTAATCAGTTTCCAATTCAAATAGAAGACCCTGCAGCATGAGGCATGGCCTGTCCATCCACACCCCTCCCCCCTTGAGTCAGTGTTGCAATGATAGCAAAACATTGCTAAAAAAATCTACAGGGATTTGTGGAGGGTAAGGTGGACACTTAAACGTCACCACCCCTCCGCCTTCCTTGAACCAGTGTTGGTAAGGAAGAAGACATTGACAGCAACATTGATTTGCGGAGGGAGGTGTGTGACATTTTTGGCAACTGCTGTTGGCCTTTTACTACAGATCTATGTGGAGAAAAAAAGTTTTAAGTTATGAAATAATGTCACATTAAAATAATTTCCTTAGGAAAGTGACTAAATTCTAGGCAAGGTGACTATAAGCTATCTTCCTTTAGTAGAAAGGAATGAAGCATATTTGAAACCTAATTTTTTATGAATCCATGTGGTAGTGATGTTTTCATACCGAAAGTTGTCTAAATTTTCGCTGTAAAGTTCCTTGGAATTTTGACCTTTATCTTACATTGGCGTGTAAAGCTAAAGTTGAAGATATTTTTACTCATATGCATTTTATTTTCTTCACCAAAAACCCACATTTCTCTTAGCCATTTTTGTCAGGATCTCCACTGTTTAAACAACACAAGAGAGAGACAATAAAAATCTCTGTTTATGTTGACTTTTGAGTGTACAGTTACTCTTTAACAATTAGTCCACTCGTGCTTGTTGGATATGAGTTGGCTACAACCATCTCGTATCCAGCAAGCACGATTGAAATGACTGTTTTATTAAAAACGCCCCAAATGAATAGAAAACTAATTGAGTAAAATAAAAATAAGAACGCCCTAGAACAGTATGAGTCTGCTTACTACATTTGTAGAGCATGGCATAATGGCTCACATATCGTGATGGCTAAACCAATGATAAGCGTTGAATTGCATTATCCAATAATCCAGTTTTTAACAATTTGATTTACTGGTAACTAGTAAAAACAAGAACCTTTTATTTTCTCCATACTCGTTGGCCAGAGCTCTCGTTACTTTAGTCACGTGGTATGTGAAACAAGAACGAGAAGCCCTGGGAACAAGCACGGTGTCACCGGTAATACTTTGGTTTCTTGTTTAGGGCTAGTGTTCACTAGAGCATTCACGCATTAGCAACATACAGTGATCCAGTTATGTGCAGTTGTTAGGAGATTTTTCTAATAAAAGGTGCTTACTATCAGCATCTCACTTTGTCTGCACATGTCGCTTATACTTCTCCGCCAAAGAGAAAACCACTTGGTCCGAGCACGGCACCAGCAGTGATGGGCCACATATTAGCCGAGTGGCTTGGACTTTACTCTCGTTCTCAGAGCTGCCTGTCCCTCTCAGTCGGCGGGGCTTAAGTACGAGCAAAAAGTGGCTTTGGAGAGACATGACTGGCTGGTTCCTTGGACCTAGATTTTCCCTTCCCGAAAGTAACCACTAGTTGATTTCTAACTAAAGCTGTTCGATTACAGAACTTCGGATGCTGTCGGTAGAAGTTCGAAAATATTGGACTTCCGGTTGAGTTGCGTATGCCTGACTGACAAACACGTTAGCGGCCCTTTTACTTCCGCTCACTTTCATTATTTTAAAACCAACAAAAATCGAGCCTGTAACGCTAATTCTCGAGTGTCGCTCGTTTCGTCAAGCTTGTGCAGCGAGGAACTAAATTGCCAGTTAATTTGCGCGTTTATTTGCCAAACTCTGCTATAACATACAACCCCGTGATTTTTCAAGCCAAACGCGAACTCACTTAATTTAACAAATAATAAAGATTGCAAATAATAAAGAATTGTTTCATTAATACAGCTACTCGAAGAAATTACATCACATTACTTTAATTAGTTTGCGTAACGAAGATCAGTGAAAGTAGAAAACTTGATTCTTAAATAACTATATTTATAGCATTTATATATTGGAAAGGTTGAGCGAACGGTTTTCAGAAATTGATTTTTTAAAAGTTCACGAAGTGTCCGCCGAATTTTCATTTGGCTATGTGCCTTTTTCAAATTTGAGTTCTTTTAAACCGACTTGATTCTCATGCAAAGGAGAACTCAGGTTCACAGTGTCCTTCAAGCTTACCATGATACAGTAACTCATTTTCACTTTCAAAACACTGAACCCTCAACAACTTATAACACACAATGCAAAAATAAGGCTTCTGGCAGCCATGTTCGGTCACGTGATGATGCGCCTGTTCCTGAAGTGTGCGAAAGGTGCGCGCGCAGCCGGTTACTGCCAAACATGGCAAGGCGTCGTAACCATAAAGAAAGTGCGCGCTGAACTCGTTGGTATCGTGTTTACTCCAACATGGATGCGTTTTGCCTACATATGTTGTCTTGTGGACCATTTTCATGTCCTCTTTTCTGCTCCTGTGTGGGCAGTACGTCATGACACAATTCGCTGTGCATAGATCACACTTATCGGCGTCTTGGATGCCTTCTTGAAATTTCGAATCTCCGCTAGAAAATCCAACCCTACGCTTGTGCTTCTGTGTCAGGCATCCTTCGAAATACCCGCAGAATCTCTCGTCGTGTTTCTTAAGCTCTTTCTTATTGCAAAAAATCATGCGGCATTTGTCGCATTTAAATCGAAATTCATTCATAAGAGTGCATTCCTTTGTATCCGCCATCTTGTAGGGAGCTTTCTCCTCGTTCAAGATCTCTATCAACGAAGCAAAAACGCTTTGAGGCTCAGATGAGACGAGGATGATGTCTCTTCTTTCTTGCAGCCAAACGCGCGGGTCCTTAGCGATAAGCTTGGTTGATAAAACTTTCCAATCCGCAGCAAACAATGGCATTACAATCGAGTTCTTTGGCACATGGAGGAACCTAAACTGAGGTAACAGCTTTGCCGGCAGTTCCTTGCTTCGATAAAACACGTAGAAGTGAAGATAGCCCCGTGTTTGAGGAGATATCGCTATGTCTTTGAAGTAATACTGACCATTAGATTCCCAATCCAGGAGAAATGACTTAACATACATTTTTAGTTCTGTACTAATCTTGTACAGTTGTCCGGACAAATTAATCAGCTCAATGTTTTATTTAAAGCGCCAAGTGTCAAAGACCTGAGCGGATTTGTTTTTAAATCTAATTAAGATGCATTGCGCTGTGTTTGACCTTTTTAAACTCACAATGGAGACTTCAATTGGAAGTCATAACTCTCTCGTCAAGGAGACTATGAAAACAATGCAGAAAAATACCGTGCAGTTTTAATTTGTTTGGAATGTGTTTGGCCAAAGGCCTATAATGTAATCTTAGAATTGTAGTCTCTTGGTTTGGATGGTTTCTGCGATATATTTCAATCAATCTTGAAAAATATGATCGCATGATTTCTTTAAGAATAATTTATTGACATTATCTCGGCCGATCGCAATTCCAGGACCTTCTCTTAGATTGAGCAGGGCCGCCATGTTGAATTTTGAATGTTGAGTATTTTGGACTCAGCTACTTGCGTGCTTAGGGGACCAATAATAGGAGAATTTATTTGCCGCACAGTCGCTCCTAAAGGTAAATAATGATGATCAATTTGAAACTTCGTATCACAAACACGTCACGAATTTAAAACAGTTTGTCGGAAATCGTCTAAAATCGCAACCGATGACTAAGACCAATCCAGTATAAAATAACAAAATGTTGAAGTAATTTTAATATGGCTGTATTGATTATATGAGAGGAACTGCACTGAGAATTTAGCTCGACAATGAAATAAAGTTGCTGAGGCACAAATCCTCAAGACACAAAAAAATTGCGCAAAAATCAACTAATTAGATTGTCGAAAACAACCGTTAATTAAACGTAACCTAGGAACCAATAAACCAATTACTCGGACCTGTTGTGCGCAAGTTTTCAGAACGTTTTTCGAGCATTCCCGAACGTTTTCCGAGCATTTTCGAACATTTTCCGGGTATTCCCGAAGATAAACGTAGGTATCGCATGGTTAGTTATTTTGCCATGGAAACCGTCAGCGCACACTTCCCATTGTTAGCTGCACGCTCGTCATCGTGTCATGGCATAACTCGAAAAATATACAGCAAAACTTTACACCTTCTAATAAGATACATAAACTAGAAAAGAAATCCTCTTGCCTTGGGTCGCTACAAGCAAGCGACCAAAATTTTTTTTGTACTAGATTAGTAGATAAAGTTGGTGAGCAGGTTGGTGTTGAAGTAAATATAACCAAAGCTAGCAATTTGTCCCTTTACGGTTCGAGATGTAGCTTATAAAGATCGACTGTGGTAAATTCTAAAAATTTCAGATGAGCAGTCACTCCATTCATTTATTTGCAGGAGCAAAACAACTCTACAGACTATAGGGAAAGAAACAGCTAAATAGGAAAGTAAAGTAGTGTTAGTTAAGAAAGTTTAACTTTGGTGAATTGAGTTTCAAACTGAACGAAACTCAGATGATCGTTGAGGTTTCTATTAAATAATCAATCTACATGCTATTATGGAGTTTTAATAACCGTTTACGAGTGAAATCGCCTCAAGACAGCAAATGCTTAGAACCAAACAGGTGAACTCTCTCCGGAAGCCATTTACATTTATTTACACACCTTGACAAATACAAAAATAACCCTCAAGTAACCCAAGAGAAACTCTTGTGCGTAGGAGAGACAAAGACGAAACGTTTTCAGCAGGTTTTATAACTCAATACGTAGGAGTGAGTTAGTTGAGTTTTCGAAATACACGAACTTTTATTAAAAACGTGAGTTGAACACATTGCTTAATCGGTTCGTTACCGAAATTTGGAGTTTTTGTTAACAACACTGTGCTAATCAACATGGGAACAGTCCCAGCTGACTCGAAGAAACTAACTCCGCAAATTAAACAAGCTATCACGAACAGAGTTCAAACAATTAGCAAACAATCACCTTAGAGTCCTGCTTAAGTAAACTCATTACTCTTCCACCGTTAAAATTTTACTTTGAACACAAGGTTTTGAATTTCTTGAAGCAAATAAATTGTTGGCTCTTTTCTCATGTAATGATACAACTTAGCACAACTTGCTCAGAGTGTTTTGCGTACGTGTGTTCCAACGCGAGCTCTGACAGACCCTTTCGCTCTTCAAGTTCAATTAATTAAAACTTCAGAGCTTTAACAATTGTTAAATATCGCCGCCAATGTCTAGAAAAACGTTTTAAATGGGATCCAAATGAGCCTATTTACAAGCAATAGGAATTGCGATAGATTAAAAGAAAAAAAATCGTTTTGTCGACATGTTAGCAACACGACCATTCATTTTGTGTTTGCCAAATGTATACTGTTCTTTTTTTCTTTTTCTTTTTTTTAAGGCCAGTTTTGGTCCAAAATGCTCTAAGAATCGCCAGTTTCTATTTACAATGTCCAAACTAAACAATTACACTCTACAAAAAAATAACCTCCCAGAACAAATTTTAGTCTTACAACCTCTTAGCTTGAGGATTAAACGCGGTTGTCCGTTTTGAAAGTTTGTAGGCTTGGGTTTAGTCGCCATTCAAAGCAATATGAAGTGGAATTTGCGCAAAGGCAAAATCTTCATTTCCATGTTTTTCTTCTTCCACATGGTTCAATAATTCCTCGGCTGTTTTGAGACATACGAGATATTTCTTTTTGTAACAAGCCATGCAGTAATATGGGTAAGTTGCCCCATGTGCGGACTTGTGGTGAAAAGCTTGAAATTCAATGTTTGGAAAACGCTCAGAACAGCTCGGTTCCTCGAGGCACGGGAGCGGCAAATTGCTGTAAAAATGTTCCAAATACTCATCTTTAGTTTCGTAATATTCCTCACAGCTGCAGTCACATCTCTTATGCGTTTTCGCCATGTGTTCTCCCAGCTTCTTGGGCGAGCAGAATATTTTATCCGGGCAGAATTCGCAGCCCTGTTGGCGTGCCAAATGTTCTTCCAACTCTTTTTTCGCGAAGAAGCCATTGGCTCGCTTGCTTTTCTCGCATTTCAAATTCGAACACAAAAAATTATGCTTGCTGTGATCGTGAGAATCGGCCTCTTTCTTAGTTTTGAAAATAATTTTACAGTGGCTGCAGGAAAATTGAAACAGGTCCAGCAAAGTGCGTTCTCCAACATTGATGATTTTTACAGGGATTTTATTAAATTTCAAAATGGCTTCCAGTTCTTCGTATTTCGCTTCGTCCCCGGACACGATATGAGCTTTGTATTTCGTGTGGACATGACGTTTGGGCCAAAGTTTGCAGTGATTGTTTACACAGTTGCATGAAGTATGCGTGTAAAAATGCAGTACGTATGTCAAAAGCGCGGTCCACGAAGCCTCCGCGGAAGTTGTAAGTGTTGGGTGTTTCACAATCCATTCGCAATCGGCTGGAAGGTCGTTGATCGCCGTTTTCTTGTTGTAAAACAAGTGAACTTTAATGTCTCGTTGCGTCGAAGTAAATTTTATCCCTTTAACGAAATCTTTGCTTGTAGTTTCCCAGTCTACAAAGAAGATTGAAGTGGAGCGGATTGTACACATGGCAAAATGTAAATCAAGATTTGCTTTTCTCTTCGGTAGTTTTTATGCGCGTTCTGTTTAATAACAAACCTACCTTGACAACACTTTTCTTATATCAGAATTTTGTTGACGGTGGTTTTCCTTTCGGAAACAATGAATAATTGAGAGTTCCGTGTCTAAAACAGAAGATAACCTGTACCTGATAGGGTTTTTATTGTTAACCATTGAAAGACATCCCTTTGTATCGCTCTGTTATCTCCTTTCATTGAAGACAAACAAAGCGTTCGTTGATTGGTTGTGAAAGAAACATTTACGCGTGAAACATGTGGATTTTGTTGCGAATTCGAAAGTTTTAAATGGGTTCTTGCTTTCCCATGGGTTCTTGTGTGGAAGAGAAAATGCTAAAATATGGCAGCAGTTTTGTGCAACACCTTTGTTAATGAGGCAGCCAGCGCTCAATCAAGTCAAACAGACAGAGAGAATTTGACAAAAATGAAACTTTAACTCTCTTTAACATATGTCCTAATTAGCTGATGTAAATTAAGTCGTTTTAAAAAGTCTCCGATGTCCGTTATTGATACAAATACAAGAGCGCTATACAACATTATCAGAAGAGAAAAGAGAGCAGATTTCACGTTAAAATTTCCACATGATTCTTTCACGAAAATGGGTGAAAGAGAAGGTTTCTTGTTTGTAATTAGTAAGGTGGTTACCTTGATGGCAGCAAGTGTTTGTACACCTGCAATAACAAACAAACAACATCAAAATTACCATTTTGATATTCTTATTTGTGGCGTGTTACCGTGCGAATTGTACCCTGCCATGTGAACTTTCATTTAGCAGGTCACTCTTTGACTATTGCGCGAGAGTTATCTTCAAAATTTTAGAGCAACAAGAAAAGTTGTGACTGAAGAAACAAAGAAAGTAAACTTGTGACGTTACAACGGGTCGAGCCCATAACCCAGCGGACTACAGAAACATGGGTCGGATTCTACATATAGAAGCGTGATCAGATTATTATCTTCGAGCCAGAACGATAATCGACTGTTACCAAGGGCAATATTAAAAATTGTCCGCGGTCGGATATAAGAGACTAAGACCATAGTGATACTAACAGTTCAAAAACGCCCGAATAATGCGCCTTATTGTTCTGTAGTAATAGAATGATGTTTGGTATAGTTATATTGTTGAAAACTTGAAAGAAAGATAAATTTTTAATCGCGCACTCATCAACAGTTGTGCCGTCAAACATACAAAAGTAGAATCAAGACATGCAACAGTTTTTCAGATTTCTTCAATTTGAAGCTCGTAGGAAGGACTCTCGTGTGCTGGAGGGAGAATTTAGAATATACAAATTCATTTTTTAATCTGAAGTCCTCGAAATTTTCTTGTGAAATATATATAGACAAAAGAAAGACAAAAAAGACAAAAAAAGAATTGTTGTATCTATAAGACTTATAAATAAAAAAAAAAACGCATCTCGAATAAGTAGAAAAAGAAAAGAAAGAACAAATTCCATCATGAATTTTGGAATGTCGGAACAATCTTCGCCCAAACTTTAGTTGTAGCGTTGAAAGAGAACTTAAAGATGTCACATGTTTCATATACAAACTTGTTAGTATAGTAACAAATTAAAGTCACTTTAACAAATTGAGAAACATGCTCGCGCGACACAAAACATGATGAAACTTGATCCAGAAAATAAACTGCAAGTGCCTTTGAATAAAATTTTACGACAGTTTTGTAAGGCCAAGCTACAATCAGTATCAAAAGTGGTGAAAATACCCCGTCCGTTCTCTCCGCGTCCACTTTTGGATTAAGCAATTTGAGTGGGCTCTCTTATTCTAGTGGGTTTTTATTTCTAAACTATCTTAAAAAGTTTGTAGAGTACTAAGATGCGAAACCTGAGATTACCACGAGAGTGTACTAGAAATGCGCCTAAGATTGTAATTGGACAACCGCGCCAGCTTTTGTTACGCCGACACTGTTCCAAAAATACTTAAAAATTTGACTAACTTTTTCTCAGACTTTTATCGCTCATAGCTTTTAGTCTCAATTACATGAACGTTAGGTGCAACTGAAGATGTGATTCCTATGTGATTTTTGTCAACACTATTGTTAATAATTCTATTTCGTAATTTTTGAACTTAACGTTATAACAGGGAGAGCATATTTTTTTTTGACGGCGACTGCTGAACATTAGCTCAAAAGAAAGGTTGCATTCGTTATTCGTTTCAACTGCGTCCATTTGTCTTTTTAAATACTTGCCAAGCCGTTCATGTTACTTGAATTAACTTCGGTTGTTTTTCTGATTAATCTTCCGTCATCAACTAACAATAGGCATGAGATCAGAATCATGTAATAAATATTAAAACAGGACGCCTCGTCAGTCTTAGCTGAGGTTTTACCAAAGCATTGTTATGTACGATTCCTGACTGGCTAACGCCCAGTATTTTTGGCGTTTTATGCAAGAGCTCTACGAAGCAATACAGTTCTTAATTGACGCGAAAACTATTTGTCAAATTCCTGGATAACTCGTCGGCCTTAGAAGGTTCGATGTAACAAAGAAATATTTTCCGCGATCACCTTTATAAAAACCTTCTTCTGGTAATGCGCTTTTATTATTAGTGTATCTATATTCAAACCTGGCTACATAAGAAATTACTTCTCTCTTCCTCATTTTTTTTTCTTGATACATAGATAGCGCCTGGAATTCAAAAGGTAACAACTGACCCTCATAAACATGTATGAGGTTAAGTACAAGCATCAAACCAAAAGATGAATTTATTTAATCTATCAGAAATGTGACAAAGTGTTTTTGCAATGGCAATATTTTGTCAGTGTCAATGAATTTTAAAATGCGGTTGCATTAGAGCAATCTTTTAAAAGCTGCCTGGCTTTTAACAAAAACCTGTATTGTGGTGTTAATTGGTGCTTTAAACACGCTTCTGTTATATGCAAAACGGGATGTTCTTTAAAATGTTTAAAACAATAAGGAAAACGAAAACAAGACACTTTCCAGTGGCATTTATAGTTTGTTTCTCCACTGTCTGTCGAGGACGAAATAACAAGTTTGCCCGTGCCTATCGCTTCGAAAGTCGTCTGCCGAAAGTCCGCTTAGTTGGAGTCAATAGTTTTTCATGTCAACTAAAATGGTGTCTGTTTATTTTGCTAATACCGTGTTAATCAGCAACACTAGATCCTTGGTTGTGGCTTTTAAACATGAATTCAAAGTTTTCTCCCTAGTCTGGCGAAAATTTATCGAAAAAAAAATTAAATTTAGCAGTTCAGTCTTTGCGTTGAGGAATAGTCTTACAAAAAGTGTATTTTGCCCCGCTTTAAGACAACTTAAGGTGTGAAAATAATTTAAATTGGGGTTTCGTTGCAATTTAAAGAGTACTTCATCCCTTTTTACACATTTTTGCGCGCATTGGCAAAAAATAAATTCTCTACGAGAATATTGAAGAACTTTGATTTTGTTTTTCGAAACTTAGTAATTGGCGTTGGAACCCAGTTTCATGTCAAAATAATTTAAAAATATACATAATTATTTTACATTGTGCATTTCATTTCACGGATTTAGATACAGGATAACAAAAACAAGAAAGAACTTTTCCGAAGCATGGCGGGTTTGAATTCCAGTTGTTTTCTGATGAATTCAAGTTGTTGTCTGATCAACGAACAAGTTGATCGCTCTTTATTTTTGCTTACTTTGAACTCTGAACTTTTGAGTCACTTTTGAGTGCAAAGAAACAGCAAACGAACAGAAATTTGGTGAGGTCAAATAAAACTACCGGCCAAGAGATACAAAGGCCTCTAATGAGCGAAACTTTGGACGGTGAGAAACGAAAAGATGGCTTAGTGATAATATTTTACCTCGGTAATAAAACGAAACATGAATAGCCATGTCTTTTCATTTGAAAGATTCGAAAATCTCGACTTTATCGAAATCATTTATTCAATTCATAACCCGTTGCGGAACTGGTCAACTGGGTTGACAATGTTATCACTAAAACGCTTTTTATCGGAAATCGTAATTAATTTTTCTTCTGCCTGGAAAAAAATTCGGTCATAAAAATCGTTCACATCCTCGCGACAATTTTTTTTTCAGGCTTTAAAAGATTTTCCTTCAGAGACGAGATTTCGTAAGGCCGCCTGGACGAACTTATCAAAATATTACAAAATCTCTCCGTGGAAACGTATCTAAAGTCTTATGAGATATGATTTCCTTCCTCATAAGTTATGAATCATTAAAAAGGATACTCAAAACTAAGGCTGTGTCCCGAAACAATAACAAAATACCCTTTTAAGACTTCTTCGCTATCTCTTAGATATTTCCAGTTAACAGGGCGCGCGCCTTATCAGAAAAACTGAACAATTGCTACGAGATATTAACACTGTGAAAGCTTTGCATATAGATATCTCCCCGCTTTTCATATTATTTACAGCCGCTTGAAAAGTGCTCGCGCGCGGCTTAGTCCAGACAAATTCGACGCAAATTATGCTTTTGGCAGGTATTTTTTGGGTGGCCGCTATATTGCGGTCATGGTTATTTTTAGGCCGCAAAAACTACCGGCGAAATAATCGCAGCAAAAGGCCTCTCGCTACACTGCCATTGTATCAGTGTTTGAATTAATAAACTGGCTTGCAAATAACGTGTGATTAAATGGCTATTACGAACCATTACTGGCTTTGTGTTCGCAAAATCTTGCATCTGTCGCGTTCTCAGCTAATAATTGATTTCGCATTTGTCCATTCGGAGTTTGTTAACGATTTCATGCGAGTGATTCGGTTTTTTCGTCCTTTTCTCTTACCGCCGGCGCCCTCGTTTAGCCGACCGCTCAAAACAACTTACCAATTACTAAAACGCAAAATTATATCCACTCTTCGCGAAAGCGGGATCCTGCGTCTTCACAAACACCATCAGCGCCGAGATGAGCTTATTAAAGGCCAATACGTAGCTTGTATCATTATTTATCTAAACCAACATCTCGGTAAATATTAAATTTGTCATTTTTGGAGTTTTGGACGCGTGTCACGTGACCCGAGTCCACCCCGCGATTGTTCGGTGTTTAGACAGGGCGCAGGTGTATCGCGGGCACAGATGGCGGTCGCGGCAAAATTCTCATCATTGTGAAAGACTCAACTGCGCATAACTGATGGCCAGACCCTTTTTAAAATCTCGTCATTTCGCAGCCATCCGAGAAGCGCGCACCATCAACGAAACACTCTGAAGATCCGGCTGAAAACAATTTCGATTCTCAAATCGCAGATCTTGGAGTCGGACAGCCAACCGGTAAGTCCCCTGTTTCCTTGGATGTTATGCATCTCGTAACAAAACGACCTAATTTGCTAATCTAGTGACACCCCCGAGGTACGCAGAACTTCGTGAAGTTTGATTTCTTGGAGGTGAACATTTGAAGACAATCTGGCGGCAGGCAAGCGGGCATGTTACATCTAAAGGCGGAAAAATTGTATGGATCAATTTTACGTGAGCAAAGCTTCTTTTTCAATTTTTTTTTAAGCCGAGAGATATTTTCCGAACTCGTGAATCCCGCTGCGATCGAAACTGTCGTAAACTGATTTATACCGAAAAATTAAAATAAAAATAGTATAGCGCGAAATTTTTGATAATTCGATGACGGTTTAATTTGTCCGGTTTATTTTTTTCGTTTGTTTTCAAGTTCAGTTCCCGCTGGGACATGAGTTTGATTCCTCTCTTGAAATCATCTGACATTTAGAGAAAAGTTTTTCTCATTAACAAATAATTGCAACCAGGGCTCTCTAGTAGCTCTCAAGAGGTCTCCGTTGTTTAGGACGGGCCCTACTGTTTAAAGGGCCGAGTCGATGAGTGTAAGTCGCACCAGCTTTGTTGTCGGTCAATTTTGCACTTTAAAAAAATCGCTTTTCAGCTTTGATTTCAGTGAAGTGAAATGTTTTCTTTTTATCTTCTTCTGCTCATCTTACATCAAGTACCGGATGAATCAAAGTCTAATGCTTTCGAGAAGTAGACTTTGGAACGCCGACAGAAAAAATGGGTTGAAAAAAAAAATACAAATTTATTTTCTGTTCTTTTCAGTTTTCAAAACCAGTAAAAAAAAAGGCAATCGAGGTTTTAAACTGTTCCCTCGTGTTATTGCACTTTTCCCAGAGAGTTTGGCTGGTTAATTCATTTAATTTTTTTTAGTGAAGACCAGCCCCGGCTGAGAGTGTCTGTCTTGCAAGTAATCTGTTCTGAGTCTACCGACTAAAATGCATATCCAGTCATTACTTTGTAGCCCTTTTGTTTTTAATCAAGAACGGAGAAAAAAAGGCAAATTAAAGCTGCCTTCTGCCTAAGATAAAACAGCGGTGATCTCTCCAGAGTACCGGAACTGTGTGAGGACGAGATTATGAGCGAAATTAAGTCTAGAAGTAAACAAATGAGCTGGTTTAAATCGCCTGGAAATGCTGAAGTTCTTGTTAGTAAAATGTTGGCGCGCAGCTGAACCCAGTCGAAGTTTCACTTAAAAAGCTACACAATTCCAACATTGAAGTTTATTCGGCGGGCCAGGCGAACTCATTAATGTTCTTTTTCATTTTCATATGATGGGATATTAATGAGGTGTTTTTCTTTTCTTTTCCTTTTTACGGGCCATTTTATGTTCAAATCATTACTTAATGGAGGTCGTTTTAGGGGTACGGTCGCCCTCAGTAAGTCTATTTTACATCGAAAGAGTGACGCGGGAGTTTTTCTTTTCTAGGGGTGAAGTTTTTCCCGAAAACAAAACAAGCCGGAGTAATTGAGCGGATTCAACTTCAAAATGCGGTGTCTTTGAATTATGTTCGAGTTTCTTCCGGATAAAAGTTACTAATAAAAAGTACCGTAAATTTGTGTTAACAGATTTGATATAATAACACTTTGTCAATATAACAGGTTTGGAGATTTTAACTCAAACTAGAATTCTGCGTGCAACACTCTAATCGGCTCGGGAGAAGGAACAAACTAGCTTCTATGAAACTGGAAAACAGCCTGCCGGATGAAGTTCTTCAAACAGCAATTCTTGATAACTTCATAATTGCGTTTCTTTAATCTGCTCAAAAGCTGAGGCATTTTAGCTTAGTATAGCTTACCTCCAGAAGAAACAATCGTTTTAACACCTTTAAAACTTTGGAATATTTATCGTCCATTTCCACTGACTTCCAATATATTTCATTTTCATTTGTCGTTGAAAGGAACTGCGAAGGTGTAAAGAGAAAAAATAAGGAGTAGAGAACGTAATGAGCCTTGAGCCAGCAAGAATCGACGAAGAAGAGGCAAAAACACTCGGAATTCGTAAGTATTCGTTACTTCAGTAAATAAAGCTCGAAATGTTAAGTAAAGTGTATTTAAAGTTTTGAGTAAGTATGCGTTATTCCTTAATATAACGAAAGATGAAAAAAGATAATTTGGTCTTATTGAGTCACTTCAGTTTTCCGATGCGAGATTTGCCTTTCAACACTCAGAAAATTGGTTGAGTGGAACAAATTTCGATCAAAACTACAGATTTTACTCAAGATCTACAGTGGTAAGAGATTTATCCTCGAGGGAAATGCAATAATATTCATTGAATTTCTGATGCGTACATTTTCTAACTCGCAATTTTTTTCACTCTTTTTTGCGCCAAAGCTGTGCAGACTTAAATTTTGTTTTTATTCATAAGGGTGATTTCAACTCGCTTTTGTAACAGCTCTGCTGTTTTTCCCTAGAATCTCAAAGATTGCTCTTCATTTTAGAGTATGGTTAAGTTTTTGTCTTCTAATTTTTAATAGTTTGGTCTTTTTACTTTTGGCAGATACAGTTCGTACAGAGGACGGCGAGATTTTAGCAAAATTCAACCACGCACTGGCTTCGATTGTAACAACGGAAGGGTGAGAACAGGTTTCTGTCAAACTTACAAAAAAGCATGAAAATTTATAAAAACGTTTCGACAAATGCATAGACGAAGATGTCCATTATTATAACAGGTATAAATCTGCCACTGCTTGTACTTTGAAAACGGGTCACCGGTAAAATACCGCTAAGAAAAACAGACCTTAGCCACCAAATCGCCAGAACCTTATGCCTGTTATTAGCGAAACCGGCGTTCGATCTTTCACCAAAAAACTGAGTCACAGTGTCTTCATTCAAGCAATCATTTTTTGTTATATTTTCTGCCTAAATCTTGCCATCATAATGATAAAATATATTTATACATCGTTGCTGTTGCATTCTTTTTATTCAGTCGTTTCGAAACAATTTTTTATATTCCTGTAGTTAATTTGACGTGATTTGTTTCTTCTCGCCCTGAGCTACAGAAACACACCTGGATTGCATTACTTAGCATTTTTTTTGGAGAGCTGAATCGTGATTTCACACAGAGAGAAATGTTAAATTCATAATCGATAAAATACCTTCCGTTTGATATCTCTTTTATCAGACTGGTTTCAATGTTATTGCTTAACTCGCCTGCTTCGCCCGAGGAAATAAAAAATACGTGCTAGTATTTCCCTGTGGGTGGTGATATGAATAATTATTTTAAAAATCGTGACTCCGTGAAGGGCTCTGTAAACATGATAAAACACTAGGGTGTAATATAATTCATGGTAACTGGCTTGATTCAGAAATATCTCAATCAAATGAATTTACATTCTGTGCAAGGCACGGCTTTAAGATACCTTTAAAACGCTCTCGAACCATCTTCGTGCAATTAATAAACTTTGCTCTCCTTTTATATTATACGCCAGAAGCATGTATGCTTCTGTATGCTTCTGTATACGCCCATGATCATGATTAATGCATGGAATTTAATTTTATTTCCAACTCAGTTTTAACAGTATGAAATAGGAAAACTGACATAATTTTCGTGTGCATTTCTACTGAATGATTTAAGAGAAGCTAAGAGAGAGAGAGAGAGAGAGAGAGAGAGAGAGAGAGGAAATAGACTGAGAACAGTGTAGTAAATTTTGAAGGTCTTGCCGCCGGTTTACAGATGTAATTACAATTGTTAATTAAACACACTCATCAGATATTTTTCTTCATTTAGATTTGCCACCCACATGGGAGGGGTGAACGGCAATTTATGTCACATACCTCAGAAAAAACTCAAGCTGACGTAAGTGTTAAAAGCAATTTGTATTAATTCTTCTTGTCGCTGAAGCTGTTTCATTTTAACAGTTTTAATAATACAATTTCTACATCTTCCAACGCCAGCCTGTGACTTATTGGATAGCTAAGCAATTGTTATTCTTTTCACCGAAGCTGTTTCCTTTCATCTGTTTTAATAATACAATTTCCAAATCTCTCACAGCAAGCCTGTCACGTATTAAACTGGTTTGCCAATAAAAACGTAACGTTTTAGTCTCCGATTGATTTCGGGGAAGCCAACAATTGATGGCTTTTTCCAAGTAAAGTTCACATTTCCATTTTGTAAATATAGACTGGTATAAGGTTTGAAGAACAGTAAGGTTGATGTAATTAATTATTTTCCTTGCTCTAAATTTCCCATGGCAATAATTCTTTATATCCTATCAGTTTTGCTTTTTATTTTGCCTTTCGTAGTTTTTTTCACTTAATTTCTATACTTTGTAACTGCGTTTTAACTAAGCTTTCCCATAGCAATAATTTGTTTTCTGTTTTGCATTACGTAGTTTTTCTCGCTTTGTTTTAATCGAAACAATTCTATGCTTTGTAACTAAGCTGTCAATCAAGCTAAATCTTGTCGAGTCTCTCGCCGAACTGTACTTGTTGTATTAACAGCTGAACATTTTCGTGAACGTTTTTCTAGGTCCGCTCTGTGGTATCCTGAGGCAGGCCTGCACTATCCAGTCCCTGGGCTTGCTTATCACTACCTTGTGGGTCCAGAACGAGCCGTTCATAATAGCGAAAGACCCTTTCATGATACAGAAACCGAAGCAGGCTTTTTGCAGGTAAGTGAAAATGAATCGAAAACAGATCTGAGAATATCCTTGTTGCGATAATGTTCAGCCAAAAAAATAAAGCCACGCGACACACACACTTTACAGCATAAGTTCTTACATTTAATTGTGACAAAGAGATTTTGCCGTCAAGGAAGAGGTATCTATGACCGTCAATAGAAAAACACGTAGAGACAAAGTTGGTAGGTCGATTTGGAATAAGCTTTAACAATTTACGCATGCACGCCAAGCGGACTTACATTTTACAGTGCGGGAACGTCTTGGGCGTCAAACTCTCAGCCACCTCATAACCTCATTTGGATGTTAATACNCAAAAAAAAAAATAAAGCCACGCGAAACACACACTTCACAACATAAGTTCTTACATTTAATAGTGAGGAAGAGATTTTTCCGTCAAGGAAGAGGTATCCATGACCGTCAATAGAAAAACACGTAGAGACAAAGTTGGTAGGTTGATTTGGAATAAGCTTTAGCAATTTGCGCATGCACGCCATGCGGACCTACATTTTACAGTGCGGGAGCGTCTTGGGCGTCAAACTGTCGGCCACCTCATAACCTCATTTGGATGTTAATACACAGAAAAAAAAAGTGTCTGCAATACAAGTCTTCCTCTTCTTAAGACTATTTTCTGCTCTTAAAGGCAATCAAGGAATACGATGAATTCGAAGAGTGGATTGATGGCTCTGCCAAACTTCGCTACTCGCCCTACAGCAGAGAGGCTCAAGCACACATTTCAGGCTGGGCCATGAAGTACACTAACAACCACAACAAGTTTGTGTTGAAGAAGACTTGTGTCGGAGTACTGCTCTGTAGCCAGGACTGCACTTTACCGAATGGACTCAAGATTGTCGTTAGGCCTGCTATATCCGATAAAGGTTAGCGCCAAATGTTGTACATTGCAAAATTTGCGGTGTTTTTGCTCTTGGGAACGTAATTTCGATGACTCTCTAATATAAATCATCTGGCGTTCAATCACGAATGCCATTCTCTGATTGGCTAAGCTGCTCACTATCTATTCTGTTGTAGATTGTGAGTAGCGTATGTTTTTCTTTGCGTTTTTGAAGTGTCTGTGAAGAGGATTTAGATAAAGCTTCGAACGTCTAATAGATTTATTCTAATGCAATTAGATTATTGACTTTCGATTTCTATGCGTGACAGCAACGCGCCTCAAAGGGTATTATTAAGAACCGTGATAAATTATTAAGCTAAACAACACACACTCGAAGTTAAACTACAAGCGAAAAATGTTTATTGTTTTTAAGGATTTAAGTACATTTCTGTTAATGTTTGTTCTGAGAATTTAATAACTTATCAAGGTAATATCCCATAGTTGTGAACCTTCCCTATTTTCGTCACCAGTCTCCTTGATTATATTACTCTCTCAATCATGAAACTCATACTAGTCTTCTCTTGCAGTCCGTGAAAGACAAATGGGTCAAAACTGCCCGAACGCTAACTGTACAGGAACGCTCGCCCATAGGAAATGTACAGGTAATCCATTAATATCACAAGCATCCTTCAATATGCCACTTGTACTAAAGCCTGATAAATGAATGAAATGCCTTTACATCAAAGAGTGATCGGCTTGCATAAAATCTATTAAAGGGAAGTTCCGAAAGCAACGACCATCCGAAAATTGCGAACTCAAGCGTAATTTGACTTGTCATGAAAAATACTTTAGTTATTTTGGCAACGTACGAAATTATCTTTAAATAACAGAAAACCTAAAAATAGTAGTTTACTAAGATAGAAAAACGCCAAAGATGTAATAATAAACCATAAAGGAGCAAGTATGGTTAAGGATGGAGAAGATTAACACGGATTGCAAACCACGAGCTTGAAAAAGTTGGACTAAACTTTTCAAGATATGCAAACCGTGACGTAGTTCCTTTAACACAAAGGCATCGATGCGCGGAAGATTTTTTTAAAAGATGGATAGGCCGCCATTTGGTGCAAGCCCTAGCGACTCGAAAACAAGGACGTTCCGAAAATTGCGACCTTCCGAAAACAGCGATGGGAAAAAGCTACAAATTAAAAAGCAGAAAAAAAATAACGAGGCTCGTAATTAACTTTCGGAACTTTAAGCTTTTTGTAGGTATAATGTTATACTTTTGCTAGACCGTAAAATAGTGCGTTGATCAGTCAGTCACCACTATAGAACAAGCAAAATGAAACTATAATAACAAATGTTTTTAATTTTACTTCTAGGTAATAATGGTTATCCAGTGACCCATTTCTGGGTACATCAAGAAGACGGCATCTATTTTGAATCCAAAGGCACGCACGATCACTTCAGACCTCAAGCGAGGAGAGCGACTCCTGATAGAAGCTCCAATAATAAACTTAACAGCACTAAACTGAACAGCGAACAGACTAAAAACACGGAAGATAAGCCGGCGGAAAAACTGGAGGTAAAGGAACTGCTACATGATCGAGTAAAGATATTGTTTCCCGACTTTGTATTAGACATAATAAGAAACTAGAAACCGAAGAAGAGTCAATGTTTTAGCAATCACAAGCTTTCGACTTTGTCACAGTGTCTTTTCTCAAGTGAATATGGCGCGAATCTATTTGTCACGTGAGCTTGGATGAACCAAGTCACGTGCCAAAACACGCCTGTATAGGGCCGGATGGTGTTTCGAAACGCGTGGTGAAAGTCACCTTTTCTAATGGGAAAACTGGAATTTGCTACGTAACTTAGATTTTTTACAGGTCGCTGGAAAGACAAAAGCTAGAATAACACACACACAAAAAAACATTTTGTGTTCCAAGTTGTTAAATCACTTCGACGTCTCTAGCATGGACACACGGCCATTTAACAAAATAGGCATTGATTAACACGTTTAATTTTATCTTTTAGGGTTCTTCCACTTCGTCAGAGGGAAAAAAGTATAAGTCTAGGAAACGGCAGCACGCTGAAATCGCGGACAGTTTATCAGTAAAGGAAACGGATATCGCGCACATGTCTTCCTCGTTGTCAGCTGGATTATTACGAGGCTATTCAATCGAAGAAGAAGATCAATACATCTGTGTGACCTTACCTGAATCAGAAACGCTTTTCCACCGAGCTCTGTCGTACGATCAAACAAACATCGCCACGTACGGGAAACTTTACCTACTCTGCCAGACTTTCCAGGACGTTGTTCCCGGATACACTTTGCTTGAGACCCGGATGATATCGCGCAATGTGATGGGCTGGCCTGTTGTTATAGCGACGTTATACCGAAAAGGGACGAAGGAAGGTCAAATTCATCACATGAAGACGTTGGCTCGACTTTGTTCCACACCCGAAGAAGACTTTTTTTCGCCCAAGGTAACATTTGCCAAGTTTCTTCTCGCTAAAGATCCCTCATCTAAGCAGCACCCACATTCAATGAATCTCATTTTAAGCGAGATACATTTTTAGCCCTTATAACAGTTAGTTGGATTGTTATGATTGCGGGTTGTTTAAAACTGAAGAGGAGATTTCTAAAATCGCCCTTCGACGAAATATTGACTGCTTCATTTAAATGAACTCTCTTTTCCTACTCTTGACAAAATTCTAAATGTCAAAAAGCCAGGTACGTTATCAATAGTAACTTGGTTATTCGATAATAAGCCCCCCCAAAGATAGTTAAATAGATAAACTTTTGTTTTGTCTTACCCTGACACGTGACTTCCTTCTCCACCAATAGTGGCAGATGGTGATCCACGACTTTCCCGCTGACCAAGCTCAGATGGTGACCGAGGCGATAGTAAACATGATCATCAATTCTCAAGTGCAGACACTGCTCAAAGTATTCCAGTACAAGAGTGTTAGTTCCCTGTACAAGATGCTCAGAGAGAAAATAACCAGCAGTCTGCAAAGCTACGACATGCACTTTGAACTGTGCAAGCGAGAAATTATCACCAGGTTACAAGATCCACTGCTGACGATGAAGTTCCGCGAAATGACGCAAAGACTCACAGGAAGCAAATGCACTGCGCAGGAGTATGTGAGCACGGATTGCATGCTGTCAGGTGGGTGATAAGTACTTTATATAAGACAAACGAAATGACGTCTCCAGTTAAACAACGGAAATCATGACCGTGACGGTGTTTGGCGTGATATCTGATCTTAATTAACATAACGTTTTACATTTTATTTTGCCTTAGTTTTAGTTTCGACGAGTTCATATCCTCTTGGTTTCGATTGAGAAGATATATCAAACACTCAAGACAGTGTTGACAACGTTCTTAAACACCTCGAAGTTTGGAGATGTGGTCAAACACGATCTTTCGTGTTTTATATCTTACATAAAATGATTCAGTTTCTTTCTCTTCTAACGGCTGGTCACGTCTTTCTCCATAGGAGGAATATTTGGATCCGTTATTCGAGAGTTCTGGAATTTCTGGGGAAGTAACATTGTTGCTCCTAAAGTGTTCTCTGTCGCTGGCGAGTTGGTGGGAAGAAGAGAAAAGTCAGAGCAGTGGCAACGAAGACAAGCAGGTAAGTTTCAAAATGCCTTCATCATCTTCGTCCTTCTAAGTAATCTGCCTCAATTTTACCCAGTCTTAACCATCTGTTTACCTCTCAACTGTTTTTCTACCTTAGTGAAGCTCAGTCGCGGCATTTTGAGTAATTTTGGCCACGTATAAAATTACCTTAAAATGGAAGGAAGCCTGAAAATAGTAGCTACTAAAACAGAAAAACACTTAAGAGATAATAATAAACCATAAAGGAACAAGGATGGTCAAGGATGGAGAAGATTAACACGGATTACAAACGACGAACTTGAGAAATTTAGGCTAAGCTTTTTAAGAGGCGCAAACCGTGACGTAGCTCCTTTAATAAACTGTTGATTTTAAAAGTAAAGGTAATGGCTCACTAAAAAATCTCAAAGGTTTGGACTGTGATGACTCTAAGACTATTACTCGTGGCCCCACATGACGCAAATATTAAATCGTGTTTCTCGTTTCTCTCTCAGGTCTTGATTTCCCCAGTGATCCACAGAAAGTGACCTTACAGCGCATGAGTGAGGTGGTGGTCACGTGGTGTCACTACCAGTCTGACCATTGGCCAAAATCAGGTGAGTGACGTCATTTATTCATGATATAATTGAATAATAATTATTGATTAATAATTCGTGATATAATTGAGACACTGCGTTGGACTATGATCGACATACTAAGCGTTGGCTCAAGTTATGCTCAAGTAATTGTTCTAAACGTGGTTTCATTTTTTGTTTTTTAGTTGTACAAGAAAGCATGGCCAACTTCACGCACTTACGACCCGAGGAGAAAAGGCTCCGCTTCAACATTGAGCGACCTGGGTCCGCGTTCCATCGGCCAGTCACTTACCCCACCTTACCCATGCCTAGATTTCACTGGTGTTGAGGGCACCATGACGACACGATTTGAAAATTTTGTAAATAAATGACATTTTTGAAGTAGTTTAAGAATTTTACCACGACATTTTGCATCACTGCATGTCGAGAGGATGACTAAACCGTCTTTTTATGTAAGAATTATTGGCTGTCAACAAAACAAGATTATAGCAAAATTTCGAGTTGAACTCATGAATCATCAAGCTCACGGCCAGCGATTGTTCGCCAATTAAAACTTAAGGGAACAACCGCTGGCCAAGGAGCTTGAAAACTCGTGGTTCAAAACTAGTTGTTGTTAAAACGTTTGTGAGAAATCTTCACATGAATTAACTTCTTACAGATATTTAAAATAAGGCTTTAAAAGCACGCACCATATCCGGCATTGAGTTGAAAACCTTGCAATATTTCAACGAGCTTGCTTCTAATATATATGGGCCTTTTGTATTATTTTATTCAGTTTTGTCAGTTATGTCTCGTTATAAATTTGCATGCTGCAGCATCTAAGGACAAAATTGGGAATTGAAACTTAATAACTGTCATCATTGTTTTTAACGAGAGAGGGTTCAGCTCTTTCCCTGTTATATAAACAAAGAATTGTTTTCATTTATAAGTGGAACGAAAACTACTCGAAGGCAAAGACATTTAAAAGAAATTGAAATCGAAGAGCTAAATAAATACGTTTATATCACCAAAGTTCACCCCGTAAAAATCGTGCGAAACAAGTACAAATATCACGAGGAATTTGTTCTGTAGGAAACTGGTCTAACAGGTTTTTTGTAGTACTGTTGTCAGTCTAAAGCCCCGGCCAAACGATCACAACATGTCAACGCAACATATCGCAACATTGTCGGGCGCAACATGTTGCGTGCGTTTGGCCACCGTGTTGCGATTTGTTGCGACATGTTGAGTGTTGTTGGCTCAAGTTTGAAAATGGTCAAATTTGAGCCAACAACACCCAACATGTCGCAACACATCGCGACACGGTGGCTAAACGCACGCAACATGCTGCGCCCAACAATGTTGCGATATGTTACGTTGACATGTTGCGATCGTTTGGCCGGGCCTTAACATTTATAAGTTTTCGTTCGCAGCTTTCCCAGGTAATTTATATCTAAGGCTAAAAAGCCATATTTATATGTAAAATAGACACAAGTATTTGTATTGATACAGGTTGTAAAGAGTGTCGAATTTAGTGGAGTAATAAATGTTTAATAAAATGAAACTTCTAAAACCTTTAGTATTGATTTGCCGGATTTTTGCAATTTCAATCGGGATTGAGTATAAAGATTGCTTCAGGTAGCCTTTGTCTCACTCAACCATAGTCAAACCAGATGACGATGTTGATGGCGATTTTACTGACTCCTAATATCGTCCCCAGGTCTGCTACGGCCAGCATCCAACAGAGTGAGACCTGGGTACGGGATTAACTGACTCCCACTCATAAGGATGAACACAAAGTAAAACGTCTCACTCAAATGCGTTTTCTATTATTTTAAAATTGGCTGAACGGCAAATAATGTGTAGTCGTTTCTATTTTACAGAGATCTCCAATCTAAAGGACTAACAGAACTAACTTAACTTTTTAAGGCATTCTTTGTTGAATAAAATACATTTTATTTACACTCAGAAATCGTTGTATGCCAAAGTTTTTTGTTTTTTTTTCTGTGAGAACACAAATACGAAATTCCCCTCAAACCTCAAAAAAGCTTCACTGCAGTATTGAAGGCAGTTCGAAATCGAGTTCATGGCTTCCCGTGCTCGAAATTAGCGTATTCATTGATCAAGTCACAGAAACCGATGTAATTAAAATCGTGTTTGTAACCCAAAACGACGTCGAACTTTTTCTTGATGACCAAGAACTCGCGCGCGCTCACCAGGCTTCCTAGGTCCAACTCGCTCAAGACGCGGTGGAACTGGAACCGAGACACCGTGCCGTTATGCACGCGGTCGTAATCCTCAAAGAGCGGGAAAATCTGAATGCGTCGGATACGCACGCGGTCGGCCAATCGGTGCATGACTAGATCCAGGACTTTCTGTTCCTCGGGTGACAGCTTGCAGTATTCGTTTTCCGGTTGGGGGCGGAACTGAACGGGAACAACTTCCGGTGCTTTTTCAAGTTCTACGAGGGAAAAATTAAATGATTACTTCGGCGATGAACTTCTAAATTCTATTTACTTTGTCGTAGAAAATTCAAGTTGGTTGGAGTTGACGACGAAGTATGCTATTAAACTTAGAAGAGTGGCTTGATTAAAAGCCACATTCTTCTCAAATTACAAAAAATTCTTACAAACTAAGGAGAATTTGAAGTCGATCAGTTCAAAAAATGCTTAAGATATCATGGTATAACCCTTTCTGGTTTTTCCAGCGTGGTTCCTCCATCTAACAAATCAAAATAACAAGGAAACAACAAAAGAAAATAAATACTTTACATACCTTTCAAGGTGAAAATTGACTCGATCTCATCCACAAGCGCTGTATACTGTACATAGTCTGGGTAAACCACTGCTGTGTATCTAGAAAGAAACAAATGCTTTATTTTATTTATTGCAGGTGAGTAACTCACGACATCCTATTAAGATTACTCAGCTGGCAGACAAAGAAAATCTCTAAGTGGAAAGAGTACATAATAGAACTGAACCATCGTACGAATCAATGGGCAAAACTGTAGGCATAAGCACACAAAAATTTCCCGCAGGATAGGCCATTTCCGAGATGCCTTTTGACTCTGTTTCAAAACGAGACTTCATGCGAATTCATTGATACGAAAATGTGTTTTACATGCACGATCACTTTCCTTTAAAATTAATAATTTTTTCGAACAATCTCGCATTAAGACTCGTCCACACTACGCCGGAGAAATTTGAAAACGGAAGTTGCACTCTGAAAACGCATCAAATGTTTTCCGCCCACACTACGCTGGAGAAATTTGAAAACGCAACAATCACCGGTCATTTTGGATTTGTGTTTAAGGAGAATTCGGAAGGGAATCACATGATTATCGTGACGTAATCGTTTTCGAAAAGCTCCGTTTCCAAAATATTTTTCGTCCACATTAAAACGCAAACCCGGTGCTTTCATATTCGTCCGGTTTGAAGAGCGTTTTCAAAAAGCTCCGTTTTCGTGACGGATTATTGTGGACGATAGGCCTAACCGAAGAAATAAAACTGCGTTTTCATGTTTCTCCGCCGCAGTGTGGGCGGGGCCTGAAAGAGCAACAAAAAGAGCCGCTTCTGTCTTCCGGCATTTCCTCATTTGACTTCAAGCACACCTGTTCATAAGCTGCTCAACCTCAACTTTAGTGAGTTTAAGTGACGCCAGGTCCATAGCTCTTGGGAAGACTGTTTTCAGTATTCTACCAGTTCGCAGTTTGTCATAATCTTTAAAGAACTCCGACAGTCTCATTCGCTCCTTCATCACGCGGCACTTAATTTTGTACATGATCTTCTCGATGCTGTCGTCGCCCAAGTCCGGCAAATGTTTCTGGTTTGTCAGCTTTAGTTCTTCCAGTCTCTGCAAGTATTTCATCTCTGGTTTCTCCGACGGCTGGAAAGAAAGATGTCATTGAAATCAATGATGATCAATTTACAATATTTAGAGAGCAAGCCACATCAGCCTCCGCCGGCTTTCACGCGGATCCTCTGTTCTGGTTGAATTGGAATCTGGAGTGGAGATGTTGGTTGTTGTGGAGGGAGGAAAACCGGAGAACCCGGAGAAAAACCGTCGGGGCAAGGCGAGAACCACAACAACAAATTCAACACACATATGGCTCCGGGCAGGAATCGAACCCCGGTCACATCGGTGGGAGGCGGGCGCTCTCACCACTGTGCCATCCCTGCTCCCCGATTGCGATCGCGTTCAACTTGAACGAATTTTAAAATCATAGTTTACTAAGGTAGAAAACATCAAAATAGTAATAAAACAAAAAGAAGCAACGATTGCTAGGAATGGGTAAGATTCAGCTGGACTGCGAAGAACAAAGTTGAAAAACTTGGGGCAGATGTTTAAGATACAGGTCAGAGAATAATTCTTAAATATATTTTTTTTCACTTTCAAAGCACAAAATTCTGACTTTCTAAAATATCATTGAAGGTACGGCAAAAAAGATTACCTGTAGATCGTCCAGGAATTGGATATAGTTGAACCCGATGTCATCTGAGTATCTTGTCTGCAAAATCTGAGCAAGAAATAGAAACTCGATGTGAAGTTGTCGTCAACAATATCACAAATATAGTAACATGAATATTGAAGCCGTTTCCCAGCAGTTTGCTTAACGATTTGCCAGTTTGTAATTTGTCACCATAACTTTTCACCAGTACCCATTTACACTCTCTGCTGGAGAGGTACTGTGAGAGTAAAGTGTCTTGCCCAAAAATACCTCACAATGGCCCAGCTAAAGAGCTGCTCGCTTCGCTCGAACCCAGACCGCTCGATTTAGAGTCCAACACCCTAACCACTAGATCATTGCGTTTGTAACTGGGTATTAAATAAGTCCAATGTCCTGAGGTGCCAGTAAAAAGAAGTTACCACCATTACCCTGATCTCTTCAGGATCATCCGTCAGGCCTAGTGTGTGTAGACACTGGCTTGCTTGGATCTTCGTCACGTGACCGTTGTTGTGCCTGTTGGAAATGGAAAACGAAAATCATTCGTATCAGTTGTCTGGCTTTATTAGATCAAGTACTGGGTAAATTTCTGCTTTAGACGGGTTATGAACTTCATATAGAACTATACATCTCAGAACTACCATTTCCGCTCTTGCTGAATTACAGAAACCTTACTTACTTATCAAAATCCTGGAAGCACGGCTTGGAGAGAATTCGCTGTTCGATCAGTTTTCGACGCATGCGCTGTTTAATTCGCTCCAGGAACTCCACGTCATCTTGGGTCGGCTGCTCAGAACTTGCCCCAGGTCTGCTCATTTGGAACGTCTCCATGGGGGGCACTGTGTATGTCGGGACTTTCTCCAGGCCTCGCTTGGTGAAAACTAGAAGAGGAGGGGGTGGGAATGACAAATCAATTGGCACGGACTTTGCTCACGTGGACAGCCCACGCGACTCACACGCGTTTTCATCCTCCTCGAAAACATCCACGCAACGCGCGTGGTAACTTAATCCGCGGAACAACTGGGTACCATGTCTAAATAAAATTTGAGAGGGGTTACCTTGGAAATAAGGCCTATGTATAGAAGATTACTCACCGCTTTCTGTATCAGTAAGGAATCGTGTCCACATCACGTTGCCGGATAACTTAGGGTCTCTGTAGTATTGCACTAGCACTTCAAACTGTTCGTCTGTCAGGTTAGACTGACCCATTAAACTTAAACAACGTCTGAACTGACTCCTACTGATCGAACCGTGACGAAGAGGATCAAAATCTTGAAAATACTCCTCCACCTTGGAAGCAAATTTAATGAAGGAAAAATTTTTAAATGTCCAAATCACAAGGTTTGTAACCGCAAAGCAAAATTTCAGATCTACACACAAATAGGCCATTTCGGAATTACCTTTAGCCTCTTTCTCAAAGCGAGCCTTTAATACGAAAATGAGATTTCATTCACATGCAAATTAAACTCATTTTCACATGAATAGTTGTGCACCAGGCTTCGTTTCGATAGAGGGGCTTAGGACAACTCGGAAATGGGCTATTGCAACTGCTGCTAAAAAGGGAACAGCAGTAGCAAATTCATTTTAACAGAAGGCTCAACGCTGCAAAAGGTATATGTTTGAATTTTATTAGCTCGAGACTGCCTTGTTTTGGAGCCGCGGACGACTGGGGGGAGGCTGCGGGGGGATTTTCCCGAGCTGCAAACCTACTACGCATCATTCTCCTCGCGGCTCCGTTAGAACCTCCGCCGCTGAAACAAAGCACTCACACACGCGAAATTTCGCTAGCTACTCAGGCTAGGATCTCATGTGCTAGCAACAAATCCCTTGGATGAGGCAAAACGCAAATCAACTCACCCTTAGTCTGTTGACAAGCACGTAATGCTTGATGCGATCTATCAACTCCTGTCTGTCTACTGTGCTTAGATCCAATGGGCGCGGTTCTTCGCTCTGACTTGCAGTTCTGGAGAAAAAGGATGCATGATTCGGAATTGTCAGTAACGTACAAATCTTGCCGACACAAAAAAACACCAAAAGAAACCGTTAGTCTGCGTAGCAAGTATTCCCGTAAAAGCGAAGAGTTACGCCTGCTGGTCGCGCAGAAATTGAGGCGAACGCAAAAACTCGACGGGGACAGGGGTGGTGGGCAAGCGCAGCCAGAAAACGGAGAGGCTTTTTCGTTCATATGGGAACGCTTGGTACGCAGGCTAAGAGTTTTTAAGTATTTAAGATTATTGATGTAAAAGCGGTTAATCTTACTTGTCTTTCTGTGCAAAATCTGAAATGGTGGTGGCTGTACCGGTGTATTCTGAGGATAGCAATATACAATTATTACAACAATTTAACAAATTATGTTCCAAAAAGCGTCGGGGTTTTTCATTTCAAAAAGACTGTTTTTAAACATAGACAAAATGTAGCAGCTTCCGAAGTTCACATTCACTGCTAAAAATACCAGCCAAACACTTTCTTTAGCTCCAAACTTAGATGCAATTATAGCACATAGAAGAAAACGAAAAAGCCTGAACCTAAATATGTTAAGATAGAGGAATCAACTAACCCGAGTCAATGGATTGAATGAAAGCAGAATAGTTAATATCCCCTCCAACTGGATATTCGAATTTCTTGCATAGAAGCTGCGAAAAGAAAAAAAAAAATAGATTATTTTCTTGATTAGTTAGATTACTTGTACTTCACAGAAAGTAGAGCGAACACATTCATTGTAAACAACACTAACTGCGGTGTTGTTGGCGCTATTTATGAATTCAATACTGAAGCAGAACACAAAACTAAAGAAATTTTTCCNCTCTTCACGGGACAGATTAGCCTGCGTTCCACAACAAAGGCTAAGGCCACAGATAAACTGCAATGATAGAACAACGGCAAAAAAGAGATGAGCTTAACCCCCAAATAGTTCTTAGTGAAGCTCTGTCGAGGCATTTTGAGTTATTTTGGCCACGTATAAAATTACCTTAAAATGGAAGGAAGCCTGAAAATAGTAGTTACTAAAACAGAAAAACACTAAAGAGATAATAATAAACCATAAAGGAACAAGGATGGTCAAGGATGGAGGAGATTGACACGGATTAAAAACGACGCACTTGAAAGATTTAGGCTTCAATTTTCAAGATGAGCAAACTATAGTTTCTTTAAAGAACGAGAAATAGTCGGTGTTTTTGACCTCCGGGTTGAGAGGTAACCGGATAGGGGCTAATCGACTTGCGAACTTAACTACCGGATATCAATTCTACACTTCACTCTACTTGTAGCGGGATTTGAAAAAAGCTCTACAAACTAAAAAAGACAGATAAGTTTGATTTTGAAGAACAGTGCTCAACAAACAAAAGGCACCGATTAATAAGTTAGAATGACCAAAGATAGTGTGGATAAAAATAGTGGACTGCATTCAGAAAAACTCCACCACAAATTTAAGATTCGCGTTTGAAAGGAAGAATCCTGAACTAAGGCTGTGTTATTCATGTTGATCGAAAACAAATGACAGTATTTTATGTAATTCAGTTATGTCACTGACCTGATTTTCAGTGATCTCTCCTCTTCTTAGCTTATCATGGTCTTTAAAGAACTCTGTCGTTCGTATTCCATTCTTGTGGATTGCCTCTCTGATCTTCTCAAATATTTCTTGCAAGGTCGGTGTTCCAGGACGCTAAAGAAATAACTCAGGTTATTCACAGTTGCCCTCAAATAGCTACAAATCTAAAAATTAATTAAAGCATTTTCGTATGATAAGGACGCTTGTAGAGCAAAAACTAACGAGTGGTTTAGGTTTGAAAATAAACAGAAAATTGTCTTGTTTCCAAAATCCATAAAATTATCTCCTTTCTAAAATCCATATTAAATGTGCCGACATAACTGTTGTCCAGTTACGATTTGTGTTGAGTAAAGTTTATTGTGCAAGTTTTTGCTTAAGTTTTCATTTGCTTTCTAGCAGTGTGAGTCGAGTGTTGTGATACAATTGGTTGTGTTGTTTTGGTTTACATTTACAAAGTTTCAAGATTGGGTAAAAAGTATATAGTAGGATGTGCTTACCAACCAATTAAAACAAACAAGCTTTTTTGAGCAATTAGGTGCCAATCTCAAACCAGTCGTGATGTGATTCACGTGAATTTTTGTATGTTTTTCACGGATTGGATGTTTTCAACTTAGTTCTGGTTGGCTCATTGTGTCTGTTTCTCATATCACATTGACTGGGCCGATGCGAATACCACAGCTTTGGGTTTGACGTGAAGTAACAGTAAATTTGCTTGTGGTTCAGCTGACGATAAGACATTTTCTTGCAAACAGTGCTGAAAACAGTGTGAGGTATGTGAGATGACAAATTTCTAAACAGTGAACATACAGTGTATAGTTTAAAACTAACCTTTCCATAGTCATCAATAAACTCTGGTTGTGGAATGTATTTTGTGAAGTCTTCTTCTTCAGCTAATGCTGAAATTTAGACAACACCAGAGTCAAGCACTTATAATAGTATCAACACAGCCTTACCGGCATCATGACATGCACTAGACTTACCACAGTCATCCCACAGTCAAACCATAATCCTATGATAACACAGGCAAATACATGTATGACATTATCATGCCACAGTGCTACCAAAGGAAAGCTCGCTGCTCGGGAATTATGCCGACAAAATCAAACAAAAATAAGCAAAAAATATTTACCACTTTGCATTCTTTCAATGTCTTCATGGAAGCTATAGTNTTAAATGTGCCAACATAACTGTTGTCCAGTTACGATTTGTGTTGAGTAAAGTTTATTGTGCAAGTTTTTGCTTAAGTTTTCATTTGCTTTCTAGCAGTGTGAGTTGAGTGTTGTGATACAATTGGTTGTGTTGTTTTGGTTTACATTTACTAAGTTTCATGATTGGGTAAACAGTGTAGTAGGTTGTGCTTACCAACCAATTAAAACAAACAAGCTTTTTTGAGCAATTAGGTGCCAATCTCAAACCAGCTGTGACGTGATTTACGTGAATTTTTGTATGTTTTTCACGGATTGGATGTTTTCAGCTTAGTTCTGGTTGGCTCATTGTGGCTCATTGTGTTTCTCATATCACATTGACTGCGCGGATGCGAATACCACAGCTTTGGGTTTGACGTGAAGTGACAGTACATTTGCTTGTGGTTCAGCTGACGATAAGACATTTTCTTGCAAACAGCGCTGAAAACAATGTGAGATATGTGAGATGACAAATGTCTAAACAGTGAACACACAGTGTATAGTTTAAAACTAACCTTTCCATAGTCATCAATAAACTCTGGTTGTGGAATGTACTTTGTGAAGTCTTCTTCTTCAGCTAATGCTGAAATTTAGACAATACCAGAGTCAAGCACATATAATAGTATCAACACAGCCTTACCGGCATCATAACATGCACTAGACTTACCACAGTCATCCCACAGTCAAACCATAATCCCATGATAACACAGGCAAATGCATGTATCACAATCGTGCCACAGTGCTACCAAAGGAAAGCTCGCTGTTCAGGAATTATGCCGACAAAATCAAACAAAAATAAGCAAAAAATATTTACCACTTTGCATTCTTTCAATGTCTTCATGGAAGCTATAGTAGTTACATAAGCCAGGTCGGGTAGGGTCACGGTATTTCTTGGCTAGTAGGACTGTCTCTTCATGGATTATATCAGGTGAACCAGGAAAACTTCTGAAAAACTGCNTATATAGCATCACATTATCAGCATTCCAGGCTGAATCTTAAAAGTTGCTGCGATATGCCAGTGCTGGATGAATTGAGATATGATTGATCACTCTGTGAATGTGCCACCCCTAATTCCCATTTATTCAGTTTAATATTTTCATATTTTTAAATCTGTTTAGTCAGACTATACTGGACTTTGCATGATTTATCAATAATTTTACATTAGAGCCAAATTAAGTACATTGTATAACTAATTTAAAATTACAACCTAATGTTGGAACATACCTGCACCAATAACTTCACAGAAGCGGCGGTAGCTGACCATTCCTTTACGTTTAGGATCAGCACTGCCATATTTTTCCATCAATTTTGCATCATCTGCTGGGCTAAGTACAATTCCAAACAACTGATCCAAGCAACGATCAAATTGAGACTCTATATATACAAAGAAATGAAGGAATAAATTTACTATAGTGGTTAGCTGTGTGTGTTGGAGGGTACTGGTGGATGTCCAAAATATAATATGCTCCACCATTGATGTAAAAGAAATGATAATGATGATGAGTTTATTTTTCAGGGTGGAATTGTTTGTTGTAGACTTAATGAGGGGAACATACCCTGGCATAACATATGTTTCACTAGCACGAAGGCCTTAGATCAAGGGGTTTGGTTTGCAGTACTGTGGGGAACGGGGCAGGGGAGAGGGAGGGAGAGGGAAATACACTTAGTCATGATCTTGGGTAAGACACTTTACTTTTATACTCCCCACTTATGGCAGCCTGATAAAATGCCGTGGAGTAACCCGCATTAGTCTAGCATGTAGTAGCACTGCTACATGTTTACAAGTAAGTTCAACCGCTGCAAAAACATGCCTAATCACTCACTTACAATAGGCTTCGTGGAAAAGCCATGTTAAGATCTTTGAAGAGACATGTAAGAATCTCTCCAGGATTCTTAAAAGAGCTTGCAAAGATCCTGTAAAGATCTTGGCAAGGATTCTCCAAGATTGCTAAAAAAATTTCTAAAATATCATTGAAGGTGCGGCAAAAAAGATTACCTGTAGATCGTCCAGGAATTGGATATAGTTGAGCCCGATGTCATCTGAGTATCTTGTCTGCAAAATCTGAGCAAGAAATAGAAACTCGATGTGAAGTTTTCGTCAACAAAATCACAAATATAGTAACATGAATATTGAAGCCGTTTCCCAGCGGTTTGCTTAAGAGATCGATTTGCCAGTTTGTAATTTGTCACCATAACTTTTCACCAGTACGCATTTACACTCTTTGCTGGAGAGGTACTGTGAGAGTAAAGTGTCTTGCCCAAAAATACCTCACAATGGCCCAGCTAAAGAGCTGCTCGCTTCGCTCGAACCCAGACCGCTCGATTTAGAGTCCAACACCCTAACCACTAGATCATTGCGTTTGTAACTGGGTATTAAATAAGTCCAATGTCCTGAGGTGCCAGTAAAAAGAAGTTACCACCATTACCCTGATCTCTTCAGGATCATCCGTCAGGCCTAGTGTGTGTAGACACTGGCTTGCTTGGATCTTCGTCACGTGACCGTTGTTGTGCCTGTTGGAAATGGAAAACGAAAATCATTCGTATCAGTTGTCTGGCTTTATTAGATCAAGTACTGGGTAAATTTCTGCTTTAGACGGGTTATGAACTTCATATAGAACTATACATCTCAGAACTACCATTTCCGCTCTTGCTGAATTACAGAAACCTTACTTACTTATCAAAATCCTGGAAGCACGGCTTGGAGAGAATTCGCTGTTCGATCAGTTTTCGACGCATGCGCTGTTTAATTCGCTCCAGGAACTCCACGTCATCTTGGGTCGGCTGCTCAGAACTTGCCCCAGGTCTGCTCATTTGGAACGTCTCCATGGGGGGCACTGTGTATGTCGGGACTTTCTCCAGGCCTCGCTTGGTGAAAACTAGAAGAGGAGGGGGTGGGAATGACAAATCAATTGGCACGGACTTTGCTCACGTGGACAGCCCACGCGACTCACACGCGTTTTCATCCTCCTCGAAAACATCCACGCAACGCGCGTGGTAACTTAATCCGCGGAACAACTGGGTACCATGTCTAAATAAAATTTGAGAGGGGTTACCTTGGAAATAAGGCCTATGTATAGAAGATTACTCACCGCTTTCTGTATCAGTAAGGAATCGTGTCCACATCACGTTGCCGGATAACTTAGGGTCTCTGTAGTATTGCACTAGCACTTCAAACTGTTCGTCTGTCAGGTTAGACTGACCCATTAAACTTAAACAACGTCTGAACTGACTCCTACTGATCGAACCGTGACGAAGAGGATCAAAATCTTGAAAATACTCCTCCACCTTGGAAGCAAATTTAATGAAGGAAAAATTTTTAAATGTCCAAATCACAAGGTTTGTAACCGCAAAGCAAAATTTCAGATCTACACACAAATAGGCCATTTCGGAATTACCTTTAGCCTCTTTCTCAAAGCGAGCCTTTAATACGAAAATGAGATTTCATTCACATG